CCAATACGATTGACTGTTAAAAAATGCAAATGTTAATTCTAATAGGGATTTCTATGAACAAATGTTGGTCCGATATTTTTTCAATACTTTAAATTTTTATCGGTACAAGGCTATTGAAATTTAATTGATAAAAAATACGTATCTGGGGGGAAAAATAATTATTTTCTTTGTACATGAGTATGTATCTATAAATATAAATTTAAAAATCTAATCAACATTATAGGTAAGGTATACGTAGGTATTAAACCTTTAGATGGTGATTGCATTTATGCCATTTTTCGATTTCACCATAAATTACCTATGTCCAGGAATTTCGACTAGTATACGTAAATGTCGAAGGTCACAGGAATTTAACTACCGATACTCATTGCAGTATTTGTGTGTGTGTATGTGAAAGTTTTATGATTGAATTTTATTCAAATGAGTATATCAGCGAAAATTCATAATTGCGGCGAAGATTGTCTCGTAAATACAAGTATATACATTTAATAACGTCTTGTATGTATCGAAATTGTCTGCATATACCTAATCAGTTCCGTTACTGTAGTAGGTATAAACCATCTCCTTCTATAAGTAACCTTCTGTCCGTTGTTTTTATCTAACAAAAATGATAACAAACTTGGCTTATCATTCCTTGCTCTTGATTCACTCTTTTCTTCGTTGTTAGTCAATTGTTGTACCTATTAGTTATACATAACTGCCTGTTTTATTAAAAAATAACGGTATTTGCTGATAATGCTTATTTACTAATAACTATTTTTAAATCTTTTGGGGGTTTTTGTGTGCAATTTTTCATTCTTTTGCAAAGATCGTGCGTGTGCCTAACGTTAATTGAAAATGTACAACAGCAAATTATGTGTATAATAAATGTAACAAGAATATATAGGTATATACTTTGTTTGCTACAAAACTCGTTTTTATATTTAATTAAGCAGGTATTTACATTATGGATACGTGGCAGAGTAGGCTTAGACATTAAAGTCGCGATTATTCGGCATGAGCGCCTCTTCTTTTGAGGCATCATGCCAGTTTCACGTGGAAAATAAAAATTTTCATGGCAATGTCTTCTATCTCCTGCGCAGCTTTCGAATCAATTCACTGACCCTAACCGTGTTGATTGAGTTAAGTTCAGAGACCTGCCGCTGCGTCGGTTTTCGCGTACGTTTAAATTTTTTTAGCGTCGGGCTTTTTTTTTTGGTAGTCGTTGCTTATTTGTCTGAGAAAACATGGGTTATTATTATTCCCAAATGTCCCATAAACGGTGGTTGCGGACACTGCATTTTTTTTTTTCGTTAACAAAAATTGCTTTTTATCTGGATGATGCATTATTTAATCATGTTGAACCGTCTAATCTTAATTTAGTCAATTACAAAGGATATATGAATTACCTTCAAACTAGTTGAATCCGTCTAGATTTGTACTTTTTGATCATGGCGATCTTCTATAACACAACTTAATCTGGGCCCTTATGGCATATTACTTTATATGTTTATTATGCCAGTCAGGAAATATTCACTTTCGAATTGTTTTCGTCATTGCCTAAGCCCTAGGTGAGTAATACTTCGCCTATAAGCTTTATATCTAATGACCTAACGTTAACTGAAGGTGCATAGCATTGCATATATGTCGATCAGGGTTTCTCCATACCATAACCTAATTAGACCTAAAGTCACAGCCTCTGCCTTATGACCCTACGGTAATGCATTACGAAAAGTAATGATTTATTCGCAACCTTAGGTACCTATATGCTTTTTTGTTTCCTGAGATCTCAATTGTTAGCTGTATAATGTTTTGCAAGTTCTCTAGTTAAATATGTAAGGTATATTTAGCTTAATTTACCTACATAACATCAAAAGCTTATTTTTTTATAATTGAATTTTAATGGAATTATACTATCGGTAAGTCACAATTTTTGGTTGTACGATCTAGGCTAGGTTAATATACTAAAATTGTTGTCGGCGTTGCCATATGGTCTTTCATATCGTATTTCTGTTCCTATCTACGCTGTGCTACATAATCTTCCTTTTTTTTAATTATTTTACATTATGAACACCAAGCGGCATTGTGAGTGACGCCTATGGTTATTGCTTTCTTTGATTAGCAGGTGGTCGATGGTGATTTTTCGAAGCGTCTTACTGTTCTCTGCCTATCGTTTTAGCTAAATATGTGCCTAGCCATAGGCAAATTCTACCTCTTGTGCGATATTTCTACTAATAATAAGGGATTCTCACTTGTGTAGAATTAATGTTCAAATGCTTTTGCATTCGCGTACGGAAGACTTCTTTTTAAATTGTTAGTTTTCTTGAGACAAAATTATTTTAGCTAGAATGTCTTGATTAAACAGACCGTGTTTTCTTATCGTTATTATGTGTATAGATATTTATGTATAACGTAGCTATGTTTTAAATATACCTACACGTGCCAATCATAAAATAACAGCCGAAAACAGAATCTTCTTAAATCGTTTTAAAAAATATTCCGTTCATTAAATGCCGATGTCGTGGAATTTACTTTCCCATCTGACAGCAGACGTTTTATACGAGGTACACTGTCTCGTTCGAGTTCGACGCAACGCTATTTCGGCAGATTCGATCGATGACGTCAGTTTGCGTCGTTAACGCTACATGACATACATATACACGCGTATGGCAAGGAGCGCACGACTCCCACCCCCACTGCTTGCACCGGCTAGCATCACGGCCACCTTAACGCCCTTAAAAGCATCCCTAATAATAATAATTATTGTAAGGTAATTTAACCCACTTTTATCAAAAGAGATCAATAACGCTGATTTTCAATTTTTAGTAAAGTACATATTTTGTTAATCAACAATGAACAATCAAACTGCATATAAATTATTGATGTATTACTTNATTTACGAATTATCATAGATTATTATTTTGTGTTCACTGTGTCATATTATGTGGAATAAAACTATCCTATTAATTTAGAGTTTAATTTTAGATACTTTTTACGAATTAATAAAAGACAATGCAAAGACACTAAATAAAAGACTAATGAAAGAATAGTTAAATTTATACAGCAGTTTGGCATAGACCTGTTTTCTATTCGTTCAAATGTCCATTAAATTGACTGGATTGAGGAAGACATAAGAAAATGCGTTATTGCAGTTGCGATTTTACTTGTTTATTCTTCTGCACCATTATAGGTGGTTTTCTAAGGTAATGTGTGTATTACATTTTCAATTATTTTGTGTGAATTGTTCTATTTCTTACTATAGGGATGAATGGAGGATTTTACAGGTTTGTTAACCCCAAGTTTACATGAAGATGCTGTAAACCAACATGGTTGGTATGTAAAAAATAAAACTTAATACTAATTGTAAAAGCAAATGCAATAACTTTTTTTATTAAATTAAATGTGAATTTGAGATGTTGGATGGTTTGCGAGTGATGGATCAATTAGTGCAGCTATGCCTACCTAGGGATTTAAGGGACGTTTAGTTAAAAATAGGTGTTGTGGGGTGCAAGCTATAACAGCCCATATCAAAAAGTATAGAAATAAAAAAATAGCGAATTTAAAGTCTCTTTTTGATGTAATTCCTGTTTTAGTTAATAATTCTTCATCATTTTTTTTTAATAATTAATGAACAATTACTCACATCATCTTCCATTTCTATTCTTTCCAATTCAACGTTTTTAAATGTATTTGAGATGTTATGTTTTTCTAAAAATTGCAAGTCTGCAGAAGACAACTGTTCTCCTAGCTGTCTCAATGCAATTAGGATTTCAGCCTGAAAACAAAATAAGCTGTATACAATGTGTACTATGCTATTTATCACTGAAGAGGTGGGAAAGAGATAACACAAAGGAATGGTTACCACCCTAGTGAAAAAAGAAAAAATTGAAACACACTCACAGAGACAAAAAAGCATTCTAATTACCTTTTGTCTTTCAAATCCATCAATGCTTAGCTTATTCAGTTTAAAATCATGTTCAATAATTGATAATCTTTGTTTTAATAACTGAGGTTCTTTTTTTCCAAAAAGTTTTATAACTTCTGGAGTATGAAATGCTTGAGAGATAGCAGCCTGTGTGGCCTATGAAATGTAAGTTTATTTTTAAACAACATAGTATTTAATATTCAAATTAATATATTTAATACTCAAATGCTTTTACCAATTGAATAGCTCCCAATTCACTAATTAAAGATATATCTCCATTAACAAGTTTTTTTAAACTGTCGTTCAATTCTCTCAATTGTTCAAGAGTTTCTTCCTTAGTTTCATTATATTCTTCTGGTTCTAAATCATCTCTAAAAGGAATAATGGAAAAGGAATTAAATAAATTTATCAACTAAATTCTATTGAGACAAAATTACTATTATTACTCTATCAAATGTCTTTTTACCGGCATTTATCTAAATCTGCCAATTGTTCCACTAATCTGTCTAGCTGATTACTTAAATTTTGTTTAAGTTTTTCAGTTTCTTGTTTTCCGAAGGAAGTCATTTTGGCTTAGGTTAAATAATGTTATGCTAAGACTTTAGAATACAACGTGTAACTAGATACGTTAATATTTTACTAATCATCACATTTCACTCTATATTTTATGGATATGACAGAAATGAAAAGAAAAAAGAATTTAAGAATGTTTGTTCTAAAAGTACGTATTTACTTCCAAAATTTTGACAGGTTTTTAGTAAATAAAACTGTCACTAGATGCTCTAAAGTAAAAAACGTGGAAGTCGCGTGTTACTCTCTATTAAACTAATAAATTTAAGTTCTGTTAAAGACAGTGACGTTTAATATTTTTGATATTGAAACAATCTGAAAACAAAAGTGCGCGTATTTACATAGTTTATTCCCCACGGGGGACTTGTGGACTCCTTCAAAAACATGTTTCTGAATTAAATATCCGCCATCTTGAAATATACCTTAACCTTAAGTAAGTTCAAGTGGTATTGTAGTGTTAAGAATTCCAAAATCCGTAATCATCTCTGTTAAAAAGACGTTTGAATAAGTGAATACTCACACGAGACATGAAGTATTTCAACGAAAGTGTCCTATCAGAAACATTCTGAACTTATGTGGAATTTAATAGTGAGTCCTCTGCAGCTTCTGTAAGGGTCTACGTGCCCCAGGGCTGACATGAGCGGGAATCAGAAGCAGACGTCTGGCGTTGTTTCCCAACCACAGACGCGTTATCCGCAAGGACCGTATCCTTTATAATTTTTTTAATTTTTTTTCTCAGAAACTTTATTCCTGTAAATTGTCATTATTCTTGTTATTAGTTTTCGTGTTTTTTTTGTTTTTCACAAACGCCCTTATCTAAATTTACTTATTGCGATTAACAGTGTAGACGTTCTAGTGGCGGAGCTGTTACGATCGGTAATTAAATAGATTTCAGTGGTATGTGACTTGTTTGTATAGTAATAGCAGTGTTGTACTAGTCAGTACTAGTGTGCTGGATAACTTTCAACATCCAGTTCACATTCACCTGCTTATGCAGAAAGTCAGTGGCGTTAGTCCATATGGTGCTGGTTTATGGTAATTGTTAAAAGTTTGTTTAAATGACACTAAAATTACCGAATTACCTATTAATTATTTTTTAATGCAACATATTGGGAATTAACACACAGTATTTTATCTAATGTTAGTGTATTTGACAAGTTATAAATTAATTAATGAAGTTTGAAATTACATAAGAAATTCTTCAGGTGCAATATGTCTCAGACAAACTACTTTGTTAAGGTAAGAAAAGCGTCTTTTTTGCTTTTTAAATAATCATTTTAACGTCTCAATTTTTTTTTCCGAACGTGAGTTGCTATGGCGATAACATTCATCTTTAAATAGTTATGATTTCCAAATAATTTACGTGGTCAAGGGCGATTTATTTTTTATATTTACATGATTATTGTCATGCGCATTTTTTGCTGAATTTAATACCAACTGCTCGGATAATACGTTTGCCGAAAAACAAAAAAAACCGACATGTTAGGAATGTATGCATGTGTGTGATCAAACTACAAAGTACAATTTATTGTAGTATGCAATGTAGAGTGTACAAGGACGTGGATGTGCCTAAGGGTACATAGACGAAAATATGCCGCTCCATCAATGATTCTATTCGGTGAAAGTGAATTCGTAAAAGCATAAAAATTAATTTAGGACAATTACAAAAATTTTATTACTTGTCTTTAAAGTTCGGACAAATATTTCCTTTCTCTTAGGTCAATAAGGTTACGTTTATTCCAGTTTTTTTTTATTAATTCTTGTACAGATGAAGAAAAAATTGTCTTTTTTCCTTTTTGAAGAAAATTAATTTTTTCTTCAATCAGCACAAACAGATATGTTTTTCTATTCTTCTATTCAGTGATAAATAGTAATTAGTAATGCAGTGCAAGCGTGAAATATTTGGACTAAATTCATAAAATTGTTCAAATTCCCGTGATAGGTACGTGAGACAATCACTAATTGCGCATGCGTTTCCGTTTCCTGGTGGTAATTTTCGGAACTAAATCTGCACAGTCGATACAATGGCGTTGTCGCCCAAAATTACAATTTTTGACATTTTAAGAAAAAATTAAACTTAATTACGGTATTTTGCAATTATTTGCGAAAATCAAATTAAAAAAATAGTTTAGTTTTTTGGAAGACTGCTTGTAACACAGTAAATAAGTTTAGTTAAAAATTTACACTGTTATATGCTTTAACGCCCTTATCGATTTGTGCCGTTTGGTGCATCGAGATGTGCCTAGCACGTTTCGAGACTGCTAAAATTTAATCGTAATTGTTAACTCGTGTGTTCATCCGAAAGTGTTCGATTTTACCTGGTTTACGTAGTAGTCCAAGTTATAAGTGACATTGCAAGATTGGAATACTAATTTGACAGCCCTTGCAAAAACTTGTTAATTGTGGTGACTCATAAATGTGGAAATGTTTGTAAAACTTTTGTACGATTTCAAGATTTTTGTGAATTTTGAAGGAATTTCTGAAAATATTCAGAGTAACGCTACAAAATTAAACATAAGACCGACGGCTGATTCAAGAAACGCCTTCTTAAACTTATTGCAAAACGTAGTTTATTAAATGGATGTCTTACAAAAGCAAAATTTTCTATAATTTTTTTCATCGATCGAATTTTAAATCGTTAATCTTGGAAAATGGTGTCGAGATTCGTAACAAATGGTTCCGTGAAACAAGAGGGTGTATGTTTGCTCCCTCCTGGACCACCGCAGCATTACAGAATGATAACCACGCCACAAAGTAAGCTAGTAATTAACTACATTAGTTTGCGTATAAGAAAATATCATTTGTCTACAATATTAACTTTTATTCGTTAAAAATGTGACCTTCGAACAAACAAATTGTTTTAAAGATAATTGGTCCGTTAACCTCGCATCACTTTTTTGGACACATGCTAATTGTATTACTCTTTAATCCTACAGGTTTTATTGAAAACCTGAGTTCATCTAAAAAATTAATATACATCATGTACCTACTTGAATATTAAATCAATAATATTCTAATCGTTAATCAAACAGGGTTTCTGATTTTGGAATCTTTATATTTGTTCTTTCTTAAAAGTCGGAGGAACGGTTTGAACATAATGTACTTATCTATGTAATTTTTTATTTTAATCGCTTCGTCCTTAACATTACCACTAGGTATGGACAGCCTTGAAATGCAATTGTAAAGGAGAATGTTTGTCTGTTTTTATAATTTATGAGTGATTATTATTGTTATTATAATATTAAGCACATTTGTAGTGTAGGTGATAATGGGTGATGGTACCCAATGAAAATCAATTCACAATTGTAAATTTTGATTTGTAAAACTATCAAATTGGTACTTTCATCGATTTCATAAGAAACTTTAGTAGTAATATTTGGTAGCAAATATTCTAATCGTACCCATACTTATAGGTACAAAATATGTTTACTAGGTACATACTTACGCTATGTTGTGGCAACTTTATTGGTAGGAGCAAGTATTTTTATTTTGCACAGTGTTTATACTCATGAAGGTTAAAATTTTCGAAATAATGGTTCCGTGGTTAAAAACTTGCGTAATAACGCTGGACAGGAAGATTTGCAAGGTCTGTTGTGTGTTTAATTTTTATATATTTCCGACCAATACGATTGACTGTTAAAAAATGCAAATGTTAATTCTAATAGGGATTTCTATGAACAAATGTTGGTCCGATATTTTTTCAATACTTTAAATTTTTATCGGTACAAGGCTATTGAAATTTAATTGATAAAAAATACGTATCTGGGGGGAAAAATAATTATTTTCTTTGTACATGAGTATGTATCTATAAATATAAATTTAAAAATCTAATCAACATTATAGGTAAGGTATACGTAGGTATTAAACCTTTAGATGGTGATTGCATTTATGCCATTTTTCGATTTCACCATAAATTACCTATGTCCAGGAATTTCGACTAGTATACGTAAATGTCGAAGGTCACAGGAATTTAACTACCGATACTCATTGCAGTATTTGTGTGTGTGTATGTGAAAGTTTTATGATTGAATTTTATTCAAATGAGTATATCAGCGAAAATTCATAATTGCGGCGAAGATTGTCTCGTAAATACAAGTATATACATTTAATAACGTCTTGTATGTATCGAAATTGTCTGCATATACCTAATCAGTTCCGTTACTGTAGTAGGTATAAACCATCTCCTTCTATAAGTAACCTTCTGTCCGTTGTTTTTATCTAACAAAAATGATAACAAACTTGGCTTATCATTCCTTGCTCTTGATTCACTCTTTTCTTCGTTGTTAGTCAATTGTTGTACCTATTAGTTATACATAACTGCCTGTTTTATTAAAAAATAACGGTATTTGCTGATAATGCTTATTTACTAATAACTATTTTTAAATCTATTGGGGGTTTTTGTGTGCAATTTTTCATTCTTTTGCAAAGATCGTGCGTGTGCCTAACGTTAATTGAAAATTATTTTCAATCTTTTTAGGTGTTGTTTCATCTGAATCACATTCTATTGAGACAGAATTAACATTTTCTGTTGAATTATTATCTTTTGGATCACATTGTGTAGTCACTTTTACTTTATTCTGTTTTATGTCTTTTTTTGAAATACTTTTATTTGAACATAATTTATGCTCGTACTTTGCAGAAACGATTCCAAATACACTGTTTGCAAAAGAAAGTATCACTATTACATGTGGATAAAACAAATCTTCAAAAGAGCATTCAGTAAAAGTTGATTCGTTTTCATTGATGGAATCTGTTCTTATGAATTCTTTTGAATTCCTCCAAAAAAGTGGTATATCAAAATATTCTATTTTAGTAGACTTATTTAAATTCAGCATTTCACTCAATAAATTATAATTGTTATCAGAATACAAGTTATTTTCTGTATCTTCTTTTATTTTCTTTCCAAGTGTTGAGATTTTGTTTTCAGTTTGATTTTTTTGGAAAATCGAACTTATAATATTTATATAGTTTGGAGTAATATNGTTGAATCCGTCTAGATTTGTACTTTTTGATCATGGCGATCTTCTATAACACAACTTAATCTGGGCCCTTATGGCATATTACTTTATATGTTTATTATGCCAGTCAGGAAATATTCACTTTCGAATTGTTTTCGTCATTGCCTAAGCCCTAGGTGAGTAATACTTCGCCTATAAGCTTTATATCTAATGACCTAACGTTAACTGAAGGTGCATAGCATTGCATATATGTCGATCAGGGTTTCTCCATACCATAACCTAATTAGACCTAAAGTCACAGCCTCTGCCTTATGACCCTACGGTAATGCATTACGAAAAGTAATGATTTATTCGCAACCTTAGGTACGTATATGCTTTTTTGTTTCCTGAGATCTCAATTGTTAGCTGTATAATGTTTTGCAAGTTCTCTAGTTAAATATGTAAGGTATATTTAGCTTAATTTACCTACATAACATCAAAAGCTTATTTTTTTATAATTGAATTTTAATGGAATTATACTATCGGTAAGTCACAATTTTTGGTTGTACGATCTAGGCTAGGTTAATATACTAAAATTGTTGTCGGCGTTGCCATATGGTCTTTCATATCGTATTTCTGTTCCTATCTACGCTGTGCTACATAATCTTCCTTTTTTTTAATTATTTTACATTATGAACACCAAGCGGCATTGTGAGTGACGCCTATGGTTATTGCTTTCTTTGATTAGCAGGTGGTCGATGGTGATTTTTCGAAGCGTCTTACTGTTCATCTGCCTATCGTTTTAGCTAAATATGTGCCTAGCCATAGGCAAATTCTACCTCTTGTGCGATATTTCTACTAATAATAAGGGATTCTCACTTGTGTAGAATTAATGTTCAAATGCTTTTGCATTCGCGTACGGAAGACTTCTTTTTAAATTGTTAGTTTTCTTGAGACAAAATTATTTTAGCTAGAATGTCTTGATTAAACAGACCGTGTTTTCTTATCGTTATTATGTGTATAGATATTTATGTATAACGTAGCTATGTTTTAAATATACCTACACGTGCCAATCATAAAATAACAGCCGAAAACAGAATCTTCTTAAATCGTTTTAAAAAATATTCCGTTCATTAAATGCCGATGTCGTGGAATTTACTTTCCCATCTGACAGCAGACGTTTTATACGAGGTACACTGTCTCGTTCGAGTTCGACGCAACGCTATTTCGGCAGATTCGATCGATGACGTCAGTTTGGCGTCGTTAACGCTACATGACATACATATACACGCGTATGGCAAGGAGCGCACGACTCCCACCCCCACTGCTTGCACCGGCTAGCATCACGGCCACCTTAACGCCCTTAAAAGCATCCCTAATAATAATAATTATTGTAAGGTAATTTAACCCACTTTTATCAAAAGAGATCAATAACGCTGATTTTCAATTTTTAGTAAAGTACATATTTTGTTAATCAACAATGAACAATCAAACTGCATATAAATTATTGATGTATTACTTAAAACTTGTTTCTGAAACATATAAATGATTATAAAATTATATTTCGTGTCTTAAAACGAGAAAAAACTTTTTGTAATTACATTTACATTCACTCTATTGCATGCCCTCTTTTTTTACATATTGTAAAATATAATATGATATATACCATACCTGTAGGCATATTAAAAAAATGTCACTGAGATCTTCAACTTCAATGTAACAATAATCTAACAATATTTTGTGTGTTATGATTTTCGTTTTTAAAAAGAACTGGAATTGATAGGAAAATTGAAAAATTCTCCCCATTTAAGAAGACAAGTTGTATTTTTTTACTTGTTTCGTATTTTGGGGAGAAATATTGAATATAGTATTCCACACTGTTCTACCATGTGGTAAGAAACAGCACTAAAATACTATGACACTATGATACACATGTGATACATTAGTCTTTTTTATAATACTTTACTCCGCATACAAACACATTTTTTATTGCAACGATTGGTCAGTTTTGGATTGAATTAACTTTTTATATTCATATTTTTAAGCAGTTGTTTAGTTTAATTGGGTCGCTTTAACAGTGTCTTTTGGGTCAATAACGTATGCCTTTCGTTGCTCAGTATTGTTAACAGTTCTATTAAAAAAAGATTTAACTAAAGGTTCCAAACGTTTCTTAGTTCTTGTTTTATGATTAATTTGTAAAAGTGTTAGTAACTTATATATTTATAATATGTTGGTGACTACAAAGTTTTTCAATTTTAGAAACTTTGCTTAAACAGACAATAATTAGAAATGCCTTTGTTCGCTATTGATAACATTCGAAATTTACTCGAAAGTTTTATGAGGATATTTTTCCTGTCTAGATGACACAGATAATTTTGTTGTTATCAAATGTTTATTTTTAGGAGAATAGGAAAATAGAATCTATTTTGTTTATTGTAATATATTACCTTCACATTAAAATTTTCAATAACAGTTTAATGTACCTTTTTGGTGTAATTATAAACACGAAAAATTAATAGCTGCTATTTGTTTTGGTCAGTTTAGTTTATTACCTTGCTTTGGACATTAGTACATATGTACCCAATTTCAGAATTTATGCTTAAGAAATAAAAAAATTGGACAGAATTTTTAGGGTTAAAGAGGCATTTATGATAAGTAGTGGTGAGGGACATTTAGGGATTTTTAATTTCAAACTTTAAACTAGATCTTTTAATTTGTGATAAACATCGCCCTTTTTCTTGGGTTTCATTAAAAAACATTTTTGCTTACCAGCTTACTTAATAAGGTACGGATCATTTAATACTTAGTTGTTTTTTTCCAATAATTTCTGTTGTATATTCATAACTAAATTAAGATTTTCTTATGCTTTTTCAGTTATTAGATCAATGTCTCTGTAAATTGCTTTTATTTATATTTGATTTCTACTAATGGTAAGATTTGTATGATAATGCCCTCATATCGAAAATAGAAGTTTAACAAATAACGTCTCTGTAGAATTCTATAAAAGTATAATTAGGAGACTGCAAGTAATTTGTAGACTCCCTGGGTTCATAAACATGTTTTTCTTAATAACTTAGCCATAAGACATTTGAAAACATGCATATACAATAAATTAAAATTCGTAAGGGGTGAGGGTTGTCAGTTATTTAGTTTTGAAAAATTTATTCAGTTTCATCGTGTGCCTTTCCAGTGTAATTTGTTTCTGTTCAGCTTATTAAATTTTGTGACTTAATATGGATTTTTTGAATACAGAGTTGACTTTCGAAATGAAAGAAAAGTTGGACTATTATTATTACGATATGCTTGCAGGTAAAATTATTACACTAAACACATTTTTATTTTAGGATTATCGGTTTTGTTATTTTTTTAATATATCTTAGGAAAATTTAGGACAAATTAGTAATTGCAATGTATACTAGTTATTTATTTTTTTCTTGTGTCCGAGAGCGTTCTGAATTCGTTATCTACTTTTTATGATAGTGTTCGTTTATACATAGGTTTATATACATGTAATGGTACTACGTTATCGAAAGTCCCTGGGATCTTACATGAACATTATCATTGTTATCTTCTGCATAACTGCTTTAAATGTAATGATGCCTATGTAATTAATTTTGATTTGTGCAATATTTATGGTATTGTACAGATTTATATATTTGTTTCTTTATAGTTACAGCTGGTATGATTAGTGATAAAAATGTATTACATGTCTTCATCACATTTCTTATGCTTGCTTTTCTTCATAAAATAATTAATAACCGTATTACTCTTAAAGAAGGCCTAACAAGCTAACATGATCTTATCGTTTGAATAAAAAAATTCAAACATTTTAATATTTACAGTTAAATGTAGATATATTAGGAATAATATACGATGCATTACATCGTAATTGTTTTCATTACGTGAATCCCTACCATCAATCGATAAAATTCAGACAATTTTATTTAAAAAACTAAACGTTTTAATTAAACGCAAGCATCTTTTGGCCTCATAATCAGTCAGTTTCCATATTTTATGAAAATCGTCAGGACATTCTCTTCCTTTTTATTTCACATCGTAAGCTAGTAAAATAACATGATATATTCCAAAAATAAAGGATTTTACAATGTGATCAGACATGTAAGAAGAAAATACTAATAAAAATTGATAACGTTAGCTCGTGTATTTTTTAACGTTCGATTAACTTTATTCCCCGGCTGTGTAACTTTAAACACAATTAAAGCTAGTTTGATAAGAACAAGATAACATTGTGGAGCCGCATTTGTAAGTGCTGGCGAGTGTAATTTTGTGACTGAGTTGTTGCTTCAATATTTGTGTGTGCACATGAAAAATAATAATGTGTATTGATATTCCTTACATATAGTTATATTAAATTAGAGTTTTCCTTATTATTTTTTTTGTGTTTTCCTTGATTTGTATATATTAGTTTTGTAACGTCGAGGCCTCCAACACCACAAAGTAAGTATGTTAGTTAAAATAATCATTTTGACCTCTGGAATACAGAATTCCGTGGCTATAATCAAACGTAACACTTGCTGTGTTGATATTTTTATTACTCATTTCGTATCATTTGGAATACTTTTACGGAAATATGGCTAATCCTGGACAATTAATTTTATTATTTTTTTTAATCACTTGTTTATTATAAACGAATAGACTTCTATAAGATTCTTATAACTAAGGCAGCTATCAGAGGACAGTATTTTTGCTTATATCGTTGTTGATGTAAAAGATAAATTTGAAGTTGTTTTCTTATCGGTTAATCAGAATTATTCATACATTTTACGTTAGTATACTTGCAGAAGTACGTGTCGGTAAGGCGGTACCTTGGAAAAGTCCAAACCATACATATTTTTTATAGTATTGCAACTATTCAAGTAGAAAAAACGTTTTATAGAATGCTTTTTAATTATTGAAGATGACTCGGTTGCAGGTAGAAGATGAAAAGCAATCAGTATTATGCAGCCATAAATTACAGTAATTATTATTGAATAAACTTCTGCTACAGTTTTTTCATCCCAACTCAATTTTATTTATACTGTTATAACTATATAAAAAAGAAAATAGTTGTAACTAGCCATTTTTAATGCAGTTACATATAATTCTCAATTAGTTTATTTCGCTGTAACTTTTATGCGGTATTTTAACTTGTGCAGTAAAATGTCATCATTTAGTAGCTGTTTGTTATGAGCAACTGGTGTCTTTTAGGGGTTGTATTTTTCATTTTGTTTTTCAGGGACGACGGATGCATATCATGTAACAACACCGCCGACCTTTGTTGCACAACAGCCCCCCAACCAGGGCAACAACCAAGGTCCAAATTTGAGGAGTATGGCTCCAACGGGTCCTCCCAACAATGCCTCCACGCCTCCTAACACTGACCTAAAAGTTCAGCAGATGCCCCAAGCCTCCGTTAACTTAGTAAGTCACTCAAAAAAACAATTAGGAATATTGGTCAATCGCCCGCACAGTTAAATTTAGTCAGTTTGTAGTAATTGTGACAGACTGAATCTAAGCTTGTGCAAAATTAAAATGTAAGGATTCGCTAACACCACAAGGGAATACCCGATGAGTGGAGTTTGATAGTAACCTTAGTACACTTCTTTTCTCTACAAAAAAAATGCATCTTGTTTTTTCAGAATAATTTTTATTAATACATTTAAAATTTTCGCTATTAAACCTTCATCATTTAAATTATTTTGACCTATTCATATCATCTTGCTTTCTTGTTATCAGATGATTTAAAATTAGCCGTTTCAGGTAGGGGTTGCAAATTGAAAACTTACAATATTTAGGATTTGTTATCGATTGATTTTTTAACTTCATTTCTTTTTTTCATTTTAGACAGCCTACATGCCACAAACAGCGCAAGTTCGGGCAACAGGTCAAAATTATTACAATAGGCCGCCACCACCCCAAAGTCAAACTATAAGACCTAACCATCGGCAGGTATGGTTATCATTGTTCTAGTTATTTTTGTGAGATGTAAAGGTAAACGTAGAAATTTTGATGCGCTTCATTTTTAATGGAGGTTTGACGAACGAAAAGGTTATTGTAAAGTTGATTACGAAAGCATTGTTTAAGAATTGTTATTATTTGCATGAAGGTGTATGAGTTGAGTGCGTAGGTATTTGGATGAAGTCGTGGGCAATGTTGATTATATCGTAGAATATGGGAATTGAATAGGCGAGCGAACGTCAACATTAACGTAATCGGTTGATGTCCGTTTTTCGTTGGAACAAAGATGTTTACTATTTTGTAATTAATATTGAAAATATTGTGCATAGTGTGGGTGTCCACTACACCATTAAATAAATAAATCAGTCCGAAGTTTAATTTTTCGTTAATAAATAATTTCTGTGAAATACGGTATATTTACCAAGTTAGTAAAGAAATTGTCATGTAAGTACCTGCAACGAAGTAGAACGTATGCATGTACATACATATATTATGTGTATTTTTTCAGGGTAACCAGCCCATATATCCTCAAACGCAGATGCAGTATCTTCCAATTGCAAGTATGCAACACGTTTACCCGAATACTAATGTTTCGTTCCAATTTAATCAACGTCCTACCACTGGATACGTACAACCGTATCCGTCCATTCCCGCACAGGCGATTTCTTCATATGCGCCCTATCCGCAAACGCAAACACCACAGCAGATATGTAAGTTGAAATTAATAATAAGAGTAAAATTTTCAAGCTTTCAGTTTGTGATAGATTGGTTTGTAAGAATTCACTAAAACCATAAAGAGTAGCACACATGATCGCTGCAGTAATCTTTTGATATTTATCTTGTGATTTTATTTTAAGTAGTTATTGACGAAGTCCTGTTTTGTTGTAGACGCTTTTACGTATCCGGCGCAGATCGCGGTTCAAAGACAGGGTCCTCCACCTCCAGTTGCCACAGCCCCTCAAAATCATACACAAGCAAATCCTTCGACAATGGTTCTTACCCAAAATTCACAACAAACCGGAATGCAACAAAAAAATCGACGAAGGGCCAAGGCTATTCCAATCATCGATCCAGACACGGGTAAGTTGAGATTATATATGCAGTTTATATTACAAAAGAGTAGTATAATCGATTTAATGTAAGAAATGTGTAAATTGTTTTTTATTTCAGGTAAAGACAAATTAAAAGAAATGTTCGAGCAGCAGGAACAGGACGAATCTCACCCGGCGTCGGGAGAGTCGTCGGCGCGTCAAACGCCGCAACCATCGGTACCAAACCCTAGCAAGGAAGTGCAGGCGACGTTTGCGAAACAAGTGGCACAAGCAATAGGCAACGACGAAACGACGACGGCCGTTCATCATCATTCTCATCTCGAAACGTCGGATCATCTCTACTCCCATTCCCACCATCCCCAACCACCTCCCCAACAGCAGCAGCATCAACACCATCAACAACAGCATAACCAAGGGCCACACCACCAACAGTCTACGACGGCTACGACGCCAACAGAATATGTGGGTTCTTTCCCAACTCACCACCACCATCATCATCAAGCTCAGCAGCATGCGCATTCTCCTTCCAGTTCGACAATGTTACAAACAAACGTTAGCAATCATCCTCAGGCTGTGCAAAACAATGGCAGAATGGATCAAATTGTGTTGACGAGTTCGTTGAAGGTGAGTTCGTAATGTCTATTAATAAAATAAAATAATGCAAAATTGAAGAATATTCTCAGGCTGCGTAATGATCTAACCGTTGATTATAAAAATTGATCTTTTTGGAAGTCGAATTTACTAAGTTCTGTTGGGGTTGGCATGTGATCTCTTCAACGCTTTTAGTTACTTATTGACACATAAATTTACAATGTTTATTGATTAATTTTTTTGTTCTAGGCGCAAGCAAAAGAGTTCGTATCGCAAACTGCCAAAGAAGTGACTCCTGTGGTATCTGCTTTAACGGATTCCGAAGAAGTGACGATATCAAAACAGCCGCCCAAAGACAGGGAGAGTCCCGCGAAGGGTCGTAAGCAGCTACAGGTGCAGCGGGAACAGCAAACTAAGGAGCAACCCGCGCCGCCCAAGGACGCGTTTATTTGCGAAAAACCACCAGCGACAGCGAGCGTTGTTAGCAATAGTGGCAGTAATAATGGCAAGGATGAAACACCATCCAGATCTTCGTTATCACCACAGCAACAACAGAGGAATGATATTCCCACGTGTTCAGGCGACGCTGGTGGCGTCGCAACATCCACTCATTATCAGCAGCAACAGCAGCAAAATGTACCCGTCACTGGTAACAAACAGCATCACCAAGACGTGGAGAAGAAGAGCTCAAAGAAAGACAAAACGTCGTCTCAAGCTGTTTCTGATCAAGAGTTGATTGAATCCTCCCCAGCTTTATCAACGACCGCTTCCGTTGTTTGCCAGCTGACCTCCGAAATTACGCCGGCTGTAAGCGGTAAGTGTTTTGATTTACATTGTTGGTTGATTATCTAAAAGAGCTATCAAAAACAGACATACGTATTTATCATTAAAGACGGGGAACTCCAGAATGTATATCGAGCGTAATAAAAATAAATTAGCTTTTGTTTGTCGCAGTCTTAAAAGAAATTCTTTTTTAAAACAATTCGCACTATTTTCCCTGTATATTATTCTTAAAAACAATGTTTTTCAATTTTACATTGTATTTGTAGTGGTTTTCCTCCAGTAACAACATTTAATACAATGCAACGGAATTTGCAATTAAGTACATGTGTATTTAGTTTAATCAATAAATAGATAAGGTTGTCATTAAAGAAAAGTAATGCAATGATTTATATCCAAAAAATGTACAATTAGCGGTATGCTATTCGTGTTAAATGTTTTTGGAGACGTAATAAACATACCAATAATTTTTCAAGTGCGTTGTTAGACATTCTACTCCAATTTTTGAAATCACATTGGCAATTACAGGAACGAGCTATTTCATTCAAATTATATGTTTTGTTTTTAAAACTTCATTCTGACAGTTGTGACACGTGTGTGAAAGTTTAATCAAAATAAAATGGTAAACTATTAAAACATTTCATTCACGTTATTGCAAAAAGAAAGAACAATCACAACAATTCATCTCGTGGCATATTATTGGCTACCATACATTAAGTATCGCAATTTAGGGTAGTATCACGATTTAAGGTAACATTTTAAGTGTTTTTGATTAGATAACCCTTAGGTTTTTCGTTGTTCATCGGTTTGAATACTTCAATAAATGACCACGTCTGTAGAGATTTGTGAGAATTATGAGTTTGTTAAATTTCAACAAAATCATTTTCTAATTACGGTCAATTTGTCAAAGTGAACCCTCGACATTGTTTTTCGTGTAATAAGGCACGTACATCAAATAGAACACTACGTTTTTGGTTAGTATTCTGTCGAATATGGATCCCGGTTCGATTTTGAATTTGTTGTTTCTCAACAGCACTCCACATACAATTTGATAGAACACCGACTAACCTAAGTTGCTGCTGGTTAACTCTTTTTAGTATAAACGTAAGCTATGAGATGAGAACTAACAAGTTCGAAATCACGATCCCTGTCAAAATACTGACCCTGAACTTTGGAATTCCCCTATGTAATATTACAAAAAGCAGTAGCGGCGAACAGACCCTAATGTAAAAAAATTGTATAAAATTTTCGATTCGTGAATATCCCTTTAATTCAATTTAAATGTAACTTTTAAAAGTAATACATAATAACATATATTTTGTTAATTAATGTTTTTACATTAGTTCCTGATAACGAGTTGACAATATTTAATGAAATAATAGTAAGGTATTTAATAATGAAAACCTTCAAGAGGTTATTAAACATGCATTACTTGGATTTAATTACCATGGGATGCAAGTTTTTGATTTTTAACTTCGTTTCGTGGACAGTAATTTTATTGTGAATGCTGCAAAATTATATATGCTTTGGTTAATGCCAACATTTTCAGTATGAAATCTATCTATAAATGTTGTTAAACAATTTTAACAAAATTAGTATGGGAAATACAATTAGCTTTTTGGATAATAATTTATACATTGATTCGTTTACGTTTGCAGCGTTTTATTATAAAAATATTTTGATCTCGCGAAATCGTATTCAAGCTGCGTTGTCATTATGCAGGGAACACAATAGGTTTGAATTTGCCGGTCGCAGCAGTCGGCAGGAAATTGGTCGAGCGGAAAGTTGAGGTACTCTTTCAAACGTCATAGCACGTTGCCGTTGCTTTCTTACAGGTTATGTTAAAGTTTGTTAAAATCATGCTGAAGGCGGTTAACAATCGCTGACTATAAGCGACAATCGGCTTTTACCCGAAATAATTTAAGATTAGTCTTCTACGCATTGTTATTTTAGTCTTAACTCACTATGAGCTTAAATGTGTACTACTGTTTTTAAAAAAAATGTGTCTGCAGTGAACATTTTCGTTATTGTTCTAGCATGCATTGTGATTTTTTCTAAAATAAATAGCGTTATTTTCATGGGGAAAAAGAAACGTAAGTTTTAATTTTTTAAATAAACTGTATCTTAACGTTTCACATAAATTATATGTAGAAATGTAAGGGCTCAAGGTAAATATCTAATTGATATTCAGTTCTTAGTCGGTGTTTATTGGTCGGTAGAAATTACTCGTCGGAATTCCAATTATTTTTGTAGAAGCTTCTTAATTTTTGGTCGAACGTTTTCGACTTGGTCGGACTTAACCGAAGCCTAGCAAAATGGCAACTCGTTCTCATTCATCCGGCGTCGACCGTATGGGTCGTGCGCAACGTGCTCGTTGCTCCAATCGTTTATTTTTTTAAATTAATTTTTAACTTATAAATGTAACAAACAATTTAATACCGTAATACTCTTTTTTGTGATAAGATTTGGTAGTGAGTGAGGTTCCTCGTTTTATTTAATATTTAAGTGTTTTTTCCTTCAAGTTTTAAACGCTGCCATACGCTGAATATATTTTTACGTAAATCTAGTTGTGCACGTGTGTGATTTTTCGTTATTTTTTTCGTCTGAAACGGACGTTTGTGTACGCGTGTTCATTTTTTTTTGTAAAAGGCCACCCGAGAAAACTAACACCGATCCATATTCTTAACTAGTCACATCTAATAATAGATGCAAAACTCGACGGCATGGAGACCTGGACGACTGTAAGACCCAGGGGTAAAAATCCAATCTGTTCTTTCATCTATGTACCTACTCTAATTACGTAACTTTTTAGCATTTTAGAAAGTTACATATAATTACGACACGCGCGACCTTCTCATGTCCGATATTTGCAAGTAGTGAAATGCATAGTTATAACTGTATTACAGTCTCATAACTTATAGGTACCAATATAGGTGTTATACCTATCTATACCAAGCGAAAGAGCAGACAATCTTACAGCGGCTTGCCTTTTTGACTTCTTTTTTTTTTGTAAACAGGGTGTGGTTTCTTGGCTTCGCTCTTGCAGTTTTGAGAGATTTTATTGCTTTGCTTGGTATATATATTTATATATATCTATATATGCACCTACCTACACATGTACTGCATTCGTGCTTTCGTATGTACTACTTAGCAAGTTGGAAGAAAAAAAAATTGTACCTACCTACATTAAAAACTATTACAATTAAACCTGAATCATTCCTGCATTTGATATGAAACGGAATGATAAAATATTTCGCAAGAAAAGTAAATGATAAGAAAGATAAATAAACGTTACGTAATTTTTATTGAATATCTAACTGACGTTAGTTTTCTTCAAAGACTGGATACCGTCTACGTTGAAAATGTAAATTTTATTTTTGTGTTCAATAAAAATAGTTAACGATCTACCTACTGATTCGTTATTCCTACAATGCACTAAATACCTAGATAGTACATGTAACAAAGTAAATAGGCACTTCTTCTGTGTAAGAGTTTTTCTTTTAAAAGAATGGAAATTAATAAAACACGTATTCTCTTAGTTCGAGAAACAACTGATCAAGTTTGCAGTAATTTATAATTTTCTAAGCATAAACTATTAATTTCATATTAGTTATATTTGTCTTGTCGAATATATAACTATGTATTCGGGATGTTTGTTGCTTATTTGAAACTGGAACGTTTTGTTGAACCATTGTCCCTTGATAACGAGTACTTATTCTTTATTTTGAATATAGTATATCTAGTGTTTGACATAATTTTTTGTGTTTCTTTATTCTAGCCAATCTCTTACTAAAGTACTAAAGGTTTAGGTAATAAAAAGGGCGCGTGTTTGCCAGAGTAGCAGATAAACATGTTTTTTTGTTACCATAAATACGGATTTTTTTCATTAGAAAATTAATCTAAAAATTTTGTTTTATTGAGTCATTTAAAGCATTGAATGTTTTCTTTAGTCTGTGAAATGAATTTTCAAAACAAGCCAGCTGGCTGGTAACTATGGCCCTTTCTTGAGTACATTACCAATTGTTTCAAAACCATCAAGGGTAGAATTTCGCATTTTATTTTAAGTTGCATTGGTACCTAGGTAGCTCACTCTCACTGTGTATTTACCTGTCTTCAATGTAAACGGATTCGGTGTCTAACCGCCTTGGTACTGTTACTTTTTCTCAGAAACCTTCAGAAACCAGACGTTCTTAATTCGAGCCGTTCTTTTGCAACGGTAGTGAAAGGTCGCCTAATTTTACAATGTTTAAGTCTCGTTAAGTTGTACGCGTTTCTTCAATTTGTATGTGCGTTTTTTGCCATTTCACTGCATAATGGGATAAGGGAATGATAAAACAAACGAACGCCTATATAACATTAGTACCAAAAAAGTAATAAGTTCCAATCTTATACTTCACCTTATTAATTTAGGTAACACAATATTCGTATGATGATTGGGTGTTGTTTTTAAGGGCATCTACCATTACATATTTTAAATATTAACATCAGACATGATCGCATTTTTGTTTCGTAGTTTTGGATTTTGTTAGTGAACTCAGGGCACAACATTTTACCCCTCTTAAAAACACTCTGTACAGGTGTATACATATCATTTGCCCCTAATTGTAATGCAGTCACTAAATAACTGGACTAATAAAACTGGAACTTTAAGAATTACTGTATTTATCTAGTCAATAATTCTGTTTTTTGCACTTGTGATCGTCCCTGGTTTGTAATTTTCCGTACCATTTAATAAGGTCCCCAGCACACCTTGTGGTTGGTTCATTGATCTCTTTTTATTTCGATGTTTAAATGAATGTGTTTTCTATTGTCACTCCACCTATTATACATACCCCATTTTGCGATTAGTAAGGCATGAATTGAAATTACTATGTCTAGTTTTGCGGGATTACTTCATGTGCGTTTATAATTTTCCTTTAAATTACGAAGATATTCATTAAATAGAGTGGAAAAATTCGAATGCTTCATATCTTTATGTACAAATTTTTTCTGTTTTGTTAAGGAATTAGCTGAGTTACATCTTATGGATTGTGGGTACTGTTATAGCGCATAAGACTCACATTTCAATTTTGACGAAATTAAAAAAAAAATTGATATCTGTACATTAAATATCAAAATTTAATGGTTATCACATGTCATTCGAATGTATATTTTTTTCGATTATTATTATGTATATAGTATATGCAGCCAATTTTATTGCAATTGCTTAGTTCTACCTCGAGTACTTTAAGTTAAGAATTTTTATTAAATGTGGACACCCTGGATATCTATAGTTTGCAACCCTTACCATCTCTAGTTAGACGTTTAAATAGTCGGCTAGTATCGTAATATTATACTATCAGCTATCCCATTTGTACCGATTATGTTTATAGGACAGAGATGCTTTTAATTTTGTCGTTTTCATTGGCTATTTTCTTAAACTGTTTTAACTGAAATATTACAAAGCCTTAGTTTTCAAAAGCTAAATAAGTCGCTTTTGCGGCGACATCTTTTGTTGTTCTACAATTTTTTATTAGGACTTGCCTAACTTTTAGTTGTTTTTCTGATTAATTTATGGTTACGTAAAGTGAACTCCGAATAAAGTTTGTGGTTTCTTAGAACTGAACGGTAGTCTACATTGATACGCTGCGGTGTCAACCGTTATTATTATTATAAATGATATTTTTCCCGATTTCCTTTTTACCTTTTCTGAGCGAACTCTGTCGCCAGTTGGCACGATAAAATTTATATCGTAGGGAAGCGCCGGGTTATCTAAAGTTTGACTGTTTTTCATGTAAAAACAGTTGTCATATTTTTATGACGCATATGTGCAAATACATTGTTTGTTTGGTTCATATGCATATTTGTACTTGTAATTTTGTTTATGCAAAAAGAAAGTTGCTGGTTTTTGTTTTACCAGTTTTTTACTTGATAATTAGTAACTGCTGTTAAATATTCATGAATTGTAAAATAAAATAAATAAATCTCTGGATATATTAAAAAACAATTATTATAAATTATTTTGTCTGTTGCAAAATATAGATATGCACTGGAACTCCTCCTCTTTAAAAGAAGAAAATATTAAAATACCAATCAATTGTGCAAGTGCGCCTAATAAACTCAAAGTCAAAGGGGGGAGTTAAACTTAATTATTTATTCAAAAACAACCGCCAACGTTTTGCTAAAGTTGTCGGTTGTTGTGCCTAATGAAGTTTTACAAAAATAGATTTCCTTCCGTTCCGTTGACAACAAGACTTGTTATTTTCATTATTAAACGATGACGATTTCGATAATGCTGGTTGATTTAAAATGATCACCCACGCATGGATGACCATAGGTATGCGTATGATACATTCAATGTCGTAATTTTGGCATGATATCATCTCATGTCGTCATTGTCACTAAAATAAAAGCAATGTTTGGGTATTGTGAACAATTTTTTATGGCAAAGGCTACTTAAATACTGACTTGTTTTGTTACCAAAATTGACGATAAATTAATGGTCGTTTTACCAGGAAATATGGGCACCTACTTGTACATTTTTTTTACAAAATAAAATTTCACTAGCTTAATTAAATAATAAAAATTTTCATGTATTACAAAATAAAGATACATTTTATAAACCTTCGTTGAGAATAAAAGGAATATACGAATGTTTTAGTATAAACTTATGTAAATGTAGTCTTGACCTTTTGTGTCCTATAAAATGTAGGGGTCAGTTGTCTCTCGTATAGTTGGTAGCTTCGGTTTTTTCGCTGCTGATTCTTTTTTCTGAATTTAGAAAATTATTCAACTAAAATTTAAGCATAAACTCAAATAATATATTTAAATAAGATGGAAAGTCAATAGTGGGATCTCTATTTTAACCTCTCAAAGGTCAAGTAGTGGTTCATATTCATATTTATAATTAAACTGTAATAAACAGTCTATTTTTGCAAACAGTAACATTACGATGTAAAAATGTAATTAATTTCTAATTTTCGATATGCATTACATAAAGTGGTAATTTAGTTAAAATTATTTAGTACTTATTAAGTATTGCGCTGTCATTAAATAATAATTTGTTTGATGATTCTAATTTAGAAATTTACTTGGTAGATGATTTGTATTTAGCCATATAATTTAGTAATCTTTCATAATTTAAAAGAAAAAGTAGTTGCTTTGTAGATTTAATATTTGTGTAAGTACTCTCAGAAAAATAAATAGTATGATATATATCTGGAAATATACGTCTCGAGAATTATAAAATAAAAGAATAAAATTTACAGGATATGAATTAAATATAAGAATTTTTATGAAAAATGGACAAATTGTTTCTAATGCTTTCACAGTCCCAGCTCCACGTAACGAATCCGTAATTACAGTGGTGTTTAGTACTGTGAAAATTATTTTGACTGTGCTCGCTATATTCATCAAAGAGAAAATGTTGATGTAATACACTGTACAGTAACAGTGCGCTTTAATATCGAACATATAAATATATGCAAGATAGAACAATGTGCCAAGTTTGGCTTCATCTTTTTCTAAAATGTCATTATGCTGCGTTTAATGTTAATAATTTTTATTATTGCGGATTACACTGTAGACTAATAAGTGTCATTTTTTGTTTAACAGGTGGTAAATCTAAACAAAATGCAGCGCAGAAATCCAAAGATAACCAAAAACAGGCTAATCATCAACAGCAACAGCAGGCGACTGGTGGTGGGGGTGGTTTCGTTTCAACCGCAGCAAGCAATGCAAATAAACCTCCACAAACAGTCACCCCATTGCCCGTTCCGCAGTCACAACCTGCGAAGGCAAACAACAAAACGAACAAAATGCGAGAGCTCAATCAGAAAGGTCAACTCAAGCAGGGCTCCGATATGGATGCATTCAGTGATGACGTTGCACACGCTGTTGTTGCCACGAAGAACAATGCCACATCCGAAAATGGCAACAAATTGCCTTTGGCAACTGTCGACCTCGTCAACACCAATACTACTGTGATCGTAGAGAATAGTAAGATAACAAACGAAAAATTAGTTGAAAAGGCGTCAACGCCGTTGTCGGCTGCTAACAATAATCACGTCGCGGCGCTGCCGACGTCTACTCCCTCTCCTTCGGTACCGACGATGCCCGCGAAATCAAGAGTCGATGTTACCTCCATTGTGCCGAATATGGCTCCAGTACCGGTGGCTTTTACTGCACCCGTGGATCCGACGGCGGTCCCTGCGTTATCGCGCGATGAAACAGATCGCGCTACCGTCATCGCTAATGACAAACTTGTTCAAGCGAAAAATAAGGCAAACAGGACTCCCCCTGTAACCATAGACCACAATAATGTAATAGATACTAAAAATAATACAACATACAAGGAAGGTAAGAAAATTGAACAAACAACGTTTTTTGTTAGTACTTCTAACATTTATTTATTAATAATTTGAGATAAATAAATTCTTTTTTTATTTAGTGCCAATTTCTGAAGAAAAAAAAAAGGTATATACATTGGAAGATTTATTATCGCTAAAAAATGCTCCGGCGAGTCGTATGAAACCTGAAAAGTACAGGATACCTCCTGAATTGTTTGTTTGCGATGATCGAGCGGTATGTTATCCAAGATGTTGATAATCGACATTTTCTTTTATTATTTTTTTTGTGTTTAGAGAATCGGTGACATTAATAGGTTTGCTGTGAGAAATACTCCGGATTTTGCTCCGCAATTTAGTAGTGGTGCCGGTACATATCCCGGAAGGGGATCTTCACAAAGAGGACCGGTAAGGATTAACATATATTTATTTTATTTGCTCCTTTATACTTTTCGTTCTCAATGATGATTTTACATAAAAATCGATGAAAGTAGTGAACTGAAGTTCCATGCTGCTATTGTTATTCTGAAGAGAATTATCAAGGAAAAATTAAATGTTGTAATTAGAATCATTCGAACGACAAAACTGAAATAATACTTTTATTCTAAGGTGGTTAATAAACGAGGAAGCCAATCGGGTAAACCAAGTGGTGCCAATAAAGGTGGCAAACAAAGTGTTATTAAAGTGTCCATATCCGTTAAAGAGGACGTCAAACTCCACGAGACTGAGAATGCATGGAGGCCGGCTCGACTTGTTATGGGAGCTAGTATGACTGAAGATGACAAAAAGACTGAAGTAAGAACTCTGCTTTTTATATTATTATTTCTACCGTATTTTCTACTTCTGTTTCTAAAATTCCACAATTTAACTGTAAATTTAAATTAAATTGCTACATAAAATAAATTTACATTTATCACAGTCCCAGCTCCACCTAACGAAATTTAAAGTTATGGTGGCGTTTTTGTACTGTGAATAGAATTGCCTGTGCTTCTACATTCGTCAATAAATTGTTTCACTAATTGATGCAATACAATGCACAGAAACAGTAGCATAGTAACATTTTTAAATGGTTCAACCGTAGTAAACTGTCATCTTTGTATTTTAGCATTTACTGTGTGGTTTCCCGTTAACATACGATCGGTATTCAGGCTGGCTCGTTTAGAACTTTTTTGACACTTTATTTTAATCATTACTCTGTACATGGCGTTTTAGTTGGCTGATTTCTCCAATTCCAATATTTTTATACTCTTTTAGCAACTGTACAGAAAAGTTCGTGGTATATTGAATAAACTAACGCCGCAGAAGTTTCAAACCTTGTTGGGGCAGATCCAGAGTTTAACAATTGATACATGTGAACGATTGCAAGGCGTCATCGATTTAGTGTTTGAAAAGGCTGTGGATGAACCCAATTTTTCCGTGGCCTACGCCCTACTCTGCAGAGAGCTTGCCCTTATGCAGGTAACGTATCATTAGTTTTCTTTTATTTCGCTTTTATAATTTTTTTTCTTTCTTAGGTACCTAATAGCGAAGAAGTTAGGAAGAAGGACGGTCAAGAATATGTTAATTTTCGTAAACTTCTGGTCACCAGGTGTCAACGAGAGTTCGAGAAAAATTCAGTTGACGAAGAGGAACGTAACTCGAAAGTTAAAGAAATTGAAGAATGTGCTGATCCAGAAAAGAAAAAAGAACTCCAGTTAGAACTTGAAGAATATGATAGGCGACTGAGGATGAAGTCTGTCGGAAATATTCGATTTATAGGTAATGGACATATGAGTAATAATACAATTTTTCTATGTATATGTTAGTTTTTTGTAATTTTATTTATTTATATATAAAACCAATATGATGAATTTCCTCTTATATACTTATAAAAGTAATAAATGATGAAATGATAACTATAACTTCATGAATCCCAGAATGATAGGTACACATGAGAAAAATATAATTCTACTCTGGGTTTTTAAATACCAAATGGTAACAATTTGTAACTCGTAGGTGAATTGTACAAGCAGCAAATGTTAACTGGTAACATAATGGTCCGATGTATATTAAACTTGCTTGAAGACAAGGACGAAGAAAGTTTAGAATGCCTGTGCAAGCTCTTGTCGACGATAGGCAAAGAGTTGGAGACTAAGAACGTGGACTTGAACCCTTATTTCAACACCATGAAGGAAATAGTCGATAAGAAGCACGGCAAAATTAGTAGTCGCGTTCGTTTTATGTTGCAAGACGTGATCGATTTACGAAATGCGAAGTGGGTGCCACGAAGACAAGACATGAAACCGAAGACAATTGATCAAATTCAACAGGAAGCCGAAAGTGAACATATGACTAACCAGGTTGGATTTTTTGAATAAGTTTAATAAACTTTAGATTCTATAATTAAAATTACTTTATTGCATTCATTTTCCTTCACATATACATGTGTAGTTTTTGAATTCAATTTTGATTCTGTACTAGGCTCTGAATGCTCTTCCATTACCAAAACGTGAAGATCGGGGTCCGAATATGAGTGGTTCGGTAAAAAAGATGAGAAATATGACAGACGACAATGGCTGGTCCACTGCTCGTAGTAATCGACCCTCTTCCTTTGCCATTTCAAGTGATAAACTTAAAAATAGAGTGGTAGGTATTCCCCATTCTGTTCTAATATGTAAAATTGAAAATTACTTAGGAGTGTACATAAAACAACGATTTATAACTACATTTAACTAGTTGTATTTTTTTATTGTAGCCACCGTTAAATGAACCTTTAGGTCCAAGTAATAATTTCGATATGTGGAGTAAAGGTTCCGCCATGTCGAAAGCAGGAAGTACGACTGCTACATCTACGAATAATATGTACGCTCCCTTGGAAGGTCTGGCGGATGCTGAAAAAAGAGGTATGGTATATTGTTTTATTTAAGATGTATGCGCATCATCAATATAGTTTGTACCTATATGCATAAAACAATCTGAAGTTAACAACTGTAAATATTGAACTGTCATTTGAAATATAAAGTCATTTAACTGTACAATGGGGAATGTAAATAATAATCATGATACTGATATTTTAAAATAAGTAATAGATGTTCTTAATGCATTTATAATTCAAAGAATTTAAAATTAAATATGATCAAATCGTTTTTATTATTAAAACAATTGAGTATGAATATTTATTGCCGAGGTACAGGCAGTACCTACTGATGTGTATTGCTAAGTTTTATATTTTATAAGTAGCGTTAATGTTCTTTATATTTGTATGTTTTTGTATAATATTGTAGGTACTCGAACGAACAAAGACCTGTATGCAACCAAAACAAGCATGGAACGATTTGGCAAGTTTGATGGTAAGTTATTATAGTTTATGTTCGTGATACATATTTTATTTTTTTTTTGTCTAATTCTCGCAGTCCCAGCTCCACATAATGCTTTTGAATAGTTTCTGTGGCGTTTAGTACTGCGAATATTAAGGTCTATGCTCGCTATATTCATCAAACATTTATTAGTTGATGTATACACTGTATAGCAACAATAAACTTTCTTATTTCTACAAATTTTACAGTTTAATAAGTGAAATATTTCCAGCCTTTGTAACTGTTCGTGGTACCGTCTTCTTTTTTTTATTAGGTTTTGNTACACCGGTTTGTCGTAGGCTCTTCCGAACGCGAAATACAATGTCTTTACGCCGTCCAGGCGCTTCTTAATAAAATGGAATATCCGCAAGGTAATGGAACGTCGACTAAAGAACATCCTAGATGAATACCTGAACGAGTGTTGCACGATATCAGAGTGTGAGGAAGGATGACTTTAAAAAAAAAATGGAAAAGATTACCTTTTTTGTTTGGAAACTTAAAAATATAATATTAAAATTTTTATTATCTAATTTTTAGATGGTCGTGGTTCGAGATCGAGTTCTCAGCAACGATCACGTGACAGTTCGACAACATCGCAGCGGAGTGGTGCCGGTGGTGGGAGTAGAAGCGGCGTGATTCCTCCTCCGCAGATGCCATCGTTGACAAAGGGTCAATCAGCACCACTCCCACAGACAACCCGACCTATGCCCACGTTCGAAATAGAATTAACTGCAGAACAACTGGAACGTCGACTAAAGAACATCCTAGATGAATACCTGAACGAGTGTTGCACGATATCAGAGTGTGAGGAAGAAATCACAACTACAATACCCAAATCGGCGCATTCAAACTTAGTTTCTGATGGGTAAGTAAAGAGAATTAAGAATTATTAGCTTATTCCTTTTTTGATGAGTATTAGTCATACAGTTTAAAAGTCATGGTAATATAATTTTTTATTATACTTGCTAAAATATAGTCGTAAAAAAACAGACGCTCACATCGATATATGAAAAGAATCTAGGCCAATAAGTATAATAAAGCCTCACAACTAAAGGCGAAACGTTGGTGTTGGTCCTATACGTAAAATGAAAACTACCTTTATTGGTGTTGACTCTTTTCACATATTCAAATTAGGGGAAGAAATAGAGAATGTGCCAGATATATTCATCTGGTTTAATTTACAGATCAATTTCATTATCTTTCATTTGTTCAATTGATGTTCTTTAAATGTAATTTTATTTTCAGCTACAACATCGTACTGGAACGGTCAAAAACTGCACGAATAAATACTGGGAAACTGTTTGCTCATCTTATACAGCGTCGAACGTTATCTCTGGAAGACTACTGTAAAGGTTTGGAAGATGTTTTGTCTCTTGCAGATGATTTGACGATAGATATACCTAAAATTTGGGACTACTTAGCTGAAATAATTGGTGAGTTACAAGTACAAAATTGTGCAAATTCACCAAAAAGAAATATTTTATCATATTTTTTTTTCAACTAGTTCCTTTAATCACGGAGGAATCGATAACGTTCAAAGTGCTTCACAAATGTTGCGAACTGCTAACAACTCAGGGTCATATGGCCGATCTGTTAGCGCCACTGTTTCATTTAATTGTTCAAGAAGAAGGGGCAGCTTTCTTGCAGAATCGATGGCGTGAATCAGGACTTCGACTCGAGGACTTCCTACCTGATACCGATATCAATAAATTTGTCAGTGATGCGGTTAGTTAGCATCTAATTTTTTTTAAATGTAATTTTTAATGTATTTTATTACTTTATATTTTCTTTTTTTAGAAAGTGGAATTCTTGTTAGATTCGAGTGGTAATGTACCCTCGTATAAACCGACACTTACATGCGACGAGATTACAGAGAAATTATTGTTATTCTTCAATGTAGACGCTTCCTTTGATGAAGTAACAAAGTGGATCGAGGTTCGTTTTCGCTTTAATTTATTTTATTTTCATTTTTTAATTTGTTAATTTTTAACTTAGACGAATCTGGGAGACGTGGTACAAGAATCTTACTTCATTAAAGCTTTGGTAACGGCAATCTTCCAGCACTCGATTGTGGGCAATAAACTGAAAGACGATATTTTTAAGAAACACTATGCTTATCTACACCGGTTTGTCGTAGGCTCTTCCGAACGCGAAATACAATGTCTTTACGCCGTCCAGGCGCTTCTTAATAAAATGGAATATCCGCAAGGTAATAACTTGATTTCATATTTATTCGAAATGCCAATAAACAAAATTATTTGTAACTGTAATTTATTATGATGCAGTTTTTTTTAAGATAGAACAAATTCATATTTAATTTTTAATTCTATTATTTACAGGACTTCTGTTAACCATTTTCGAAAAGCTGTATGAAGAAAGTGTAATACCACACGAAAGCTTCGTCTTGTGGGAGGACAGCAAGGACCCTGCTGAACAGGCAGGAAAAGGTAAACCACTTTCAGTTTTCTTTATGCTCTTAAAAAATTATATAGTTCCTTTTGGTACTTTTACAAGGTATTTTCTTTAATGCAAGGGTACTTGAATTATATTTTCTGTGTGGTTGCGAAATAGACATTGAATGAAAGGTACTTCTTGTTTCAAGTTATCTATTTATTTATTATCAGCATGAGTAATTCTGTAGAGATAAATAATGATATCCGTTACACAGGCGTCTTGCAAGAATAACTTTTAACTACCCTTTAAAATATTAAAATTACGAATAATATTTTTATTCTACTTAGGAGTGGCTCTCAAGCAACTGACGAGCTTTTTTACCAATCTAAAGGAAGCAGACGACGAGACTGGAAGTTCGGCGTCGGAAGAGCCCTAGCGGCGTCATGTGATTCGCTTATTTGTAACGTCGTCGTGACGTCGTCGAAGTCTCATAAGAACTTTTATAATATAAATAACAGCAACATAGTTGACATTGTCCTGTTGTTGTATATCCCCGCCCCCACATTCTTTTAGTTGTTTCGTTAACCAAGACTTTTTAAGTGAATTTTTTTAAAGTGATTTCTACCTTTTACGGACCGCTAGCGAAAAATTTATATACATTGTTTATATTATATATATTATACATACAATAATAATCGGTAACTATTATACATATATATTGTAAATATATGTATATGCGAGAAAAAAAAAATGGAAAAATGGTTAGGACGCGAATCCAACAACAGCACCAAGCGTAATCCTACGAAACTGTTTCTTCGACCGAATCGGAAGAACTACACTAAACAAAACGTGAAGACGAGAAATGATTTCTGCTTTGAAAGAAGATAAAAAAGTTAGTGAAAAAACGTCGAATGAAAACGGTTTTAATTAGAAAAGAAATTGCAAGAAAGAATAAAAACAAGTGCCCTGTGGAACGTTCATTTTAGGTGGCGAGAAAACTGACTCAAAAAATTGTAACATTTAAGTGGACAGAAGTGCTAATGTTATTATTGCTATTGATTATTATTTATCTTATCCAACGTCAATGAAGTAGTGGGAGAAATACCAGAAGAATGTTACGGTAGCAACGTCCCCTCCATTACTAATTATTAATCCGCTCCCTTCACTCAGCAAATCCCCCAAGCCATCCACTATTTGATTCTGCTGCTAATGAAATGATTGTTACTCTGGCGATCAGGTTTATAATTATTATTTTCGAGAGAGTAAAAAAGTGAAAAGAAAAGTAATTACGTTAATGCCTTATTTTTTATATACATACAGTTTAAAGTTTTTATTGTTTGCAGTTACGTCTGTATATGTATGCGCGTCATTCTTTTGTAGTTTTCGCTCAATCCACACGCCTTGTCTCGTCTCCCTCTTCACATTTTTGTCGTTTTATTTATTGGTGGTCTCTTGTCCTTTCGTTACGACATATAAGTTGTTTATACCGTTTGTTGATAATTATTTAAATTGTTTTTTGGAAGATGATAAATTGGAAAACAAAAGGAAACTACAGTTTACTGTTATCATGAATGTGAAAAGAATTTTATTTACTTATTGCTATTTTTTTATTTCGGCCCGGCTCTGATGGTATTCGATGAAGTTGACATAGTTGTAATTTTGTATTTGTGGTATTTCAAACTTGCTTTTTAATTCTACATTATTTTTAAATAGTTTTAGCGACACAGTTAAAAGAGCGTTTGATTGATTTTTTCTTCACCTCTTTTGTATTTTATTGGCTACAGTAATCGAATGAGTTTAATATGTATATATCTATCTATATATATATATATATTGAAGAAATTAAATTTCTAATGCGTGTAAAATTTGGGGGTCTCTTTAATGTTCAGTTTCCTCTGACAAAACGGTCGTCAACGCTAAAGCGTATGCGCTGCTAGTCACATTTAATAAGGAAACATTGCACGACGGAACCAAATTTACTACTGTACATATGTTACTGTCTCTTTTTTTTTATTTTAATTCCTACCATTGCTTCAGCCAAGTGCATTTTCTTCTTAACGTTTTCGGATGATAAGAAGGAAGGCTGTTTTGGGTATTTTGTAAATAGTCAAATCACGGGGTTAATCCGGATTAAAAAGAATAAGTACCACTTAGATTACAAAGAGAAAGAGAAAAAAATGTAAAAAAACATATTTTTCGTTATCTGCTGCTCGCTGTGATGCAACTTTGCGATTCCTGTAAACTCCTATCCCTGAACAAAATAAAAGCAGACGTACGTGAATGCTACCAGAAACGAGAAAAACAAAGAAATCGATGATTATAGTGGATTTTGGGTGGTGAACGTTGATATATTTTTCCAGGAATGCGTTGTAAAATACGTGTACATATTAAATGTATTTTTTTTAAGACGTCGCATGGTTTGTATCTCCACGAGCTGGCATCTCATGGTAACCAGATTATTGAACACTTTTCGCAATTTAGTATCGTATCGTCCGTTATTAGTGCTCTATATATTTGATGATTGATTATATCATTTCTTTTATTACTATTACGATAATAAACGAACGAGGACACAAATGGAATAACGAAAACAGTGCTGGTTTCTGTGCAGGTGCTTGTTATACATAAATATACCGATCATAGACAATGGGCATGTTTGAACGAATAATAATTTATAAATATTGGTCACAAAATAAGAACTAATTGTTAACAATTCATTAAGGAATCGAGAAACGGAATACAATAAAACAAATTACAAGACACTAGTGGCTTTTTATTACTTATGAATTTTGTACTCGTTGCATTGTCATATATACTGTATGATAAAATATTTTAATGCTATTTTTAAAATTGTTTAAATTTGGGATTTGGAATGTTTAAAATAGCGAGTCAACACCCTTATATTTTACTACAGCGATAAAGAAGAGCTTTTTTTGATGTTTATCCATATATAGTTCAATATTGCTGTTACGTTGTAATGTAATTGACAGAAAATTTGAAGTAATTGTAACTTATTTAAAGTCTGAATTCCACCCATGAGTTAAGCTTTTATATAGGAGGGATATATTTGAAATATAATAAATTTGCAATATAATGCTCCGTCGCCAAGCCTCCATAAGGCTCTCGGGATGTAAAAGCTCTTGTATTGAAACTTAGCTTCTATTGCATCTTTGCACAATAAAAAGAATTAACCGTTTGATGAGTTATTTTTTTGTTTAATTGGGGCCTTAATAAAGATTTATATTTTGCATCTGGCCCCATGATTAGCTACGCCACTGGTTTATGTACTATGTCGTTGAAATGAAATAACTAAACTAAAAATAAAGTTGTAGACTTAAATCTTGTACATTTATACTAAAACACAATTAATTTGCAGATAAAATTAGATCCGGAAAAGAATACAGAATTTTTAAACAAAACCTAACCTAAAATGCCAATGTCATCTTGTTAGTTGCAGTTTGTAAACAATTATTTTTAAATTAAACATTAGTTCTATAATGAAACTTAATATTTATTGTTTAATAATGAAAATTATAATTTTCAATTGTATAGTTTATGTTGATGCCAGTGAATATAAAATATGGGGACCAGGTTTAAAACCAGAGATCGTTATGCCCGCACGTTATTTTTTTATTGAAAGTATTCCTAACTGTGACACAAATTTGTAACAAGACTCTGAATTTGATGTTTTTCATCTATTTGATAATGTAAATGTTATAGGCTTGAATTAATTGATTTGGATATTAAAATAGAAGGAAGTAAAATTGACTCAAATAAGCCGTGTAGAATATGGACTAACATTTTAAATCGTAATGATGGATCATATATAGTTCGTTATAAATTATATGAACCTTGTATTAACGTCAAAATAGATATCAAAGTCAGAGGAGAAAATATAAAAGGATTTCCACTTACTTTTAAATACATTATGTTTTCTGAGGATTGCAATTGCAATATTCATAATGTTTCATCATTTATTAATAATTGGGAATGTGGTGAGACTCAAACCCAAATAAAAGAAGACTTACATCTCTTTAAAGGTATTGATTTTGGCAAAATAAGAAAAAGGGTTAGTATAATTTATTTTTTAGTTGTATAAAAACAAATGGCTACTCTTTATCTTCCAGATAGTATCAACATATGATAATCCAGGGGCTGTAAGCTTATGTAATTATGTAATTAAAAATAATTTGATTTATAGAAAATGTTATGGTCAACATGTTGGATTTAAAATGTTTATGGACAATATTCTTTTATCGCTAACTAGGAAGGTATTATTGCCTGATTTTGAAATGTTTGTAAATCTTGGAGACTGGCCATTAGTAAAGGATACCAATGAAATATTTCCAATATTTTCATGGTGTGGAAGTAAAGATAGTTTTGATATTGTAATGCCAACTTATGATATAACAGAAAGTACTCTTGAAAGTATGGGAAGGTAAATATTATCAATAATAAGTTTTAAAAATGTGATGTCTGAAAAGGAGATTTTACATTTCTTCATTCAAAATGCAAGCGAGAAGAAATTCATAAAATCTCAAATTTAAATTTAAACACTAATTTCCTGAAATGTGTTTTACCAAGGTTTCTATTCATAGATGGCATCTCAGTTTATAAAGTTAGTTCAATGATGGAATATTTATATTTGTGATAAGTTTAAAAAAGTTTAAAAATCTATTTCTTTAGGGTGATGTTAGATATGTTGTCAGTGCAAGGTAATGTTAGAGATAAGTGGGAAAATCGACATCCCAAAATATTTTGGCGTGGGCGAGATTCTAGCAGAGAACGATTAAAATTAATCGAAATCAGTAGGCAGTATCCAGATTTGTTTAATGTTTCACTTACCAATTTTTTCTTTTTTCGAAATGAAATGGAAAAGTATGGGCCAACTTCCAAACATGTGTCTTTTTACGATTTTTTTGATGCAAGTATTTTTAGAGTCATTAGTAAATAGCAAATATTGTGATATAATACATTTCATCTTTTAGTATAAATATCAAATAAACTTGGATGGAACAGTAGCTGCATACCGTTTTCCATATCTTTTAGCCGGAGGCTCCTTAGTTTTCAAACAAGATTCAAAGTATTACGAATTCTTTTATAACAATCTTAAATCAAACATGCATTATATTCCAATTAAACAAGACCTCTCAGATTTAATAGAAAAAATAAAATGGGCTGTCGAAAACGACGAAGAAGCCAAAACAATAGGTATGCATGGACGTGATTTTGCCAACGATAACTTATTACCAAAAAATATATTCTGCTATCACGTTCAGCTATTTAATGAGTACAGTAAAAAAGTTACTAGTACTGTAGAAATTGTAGAAGGCATGGAAATGGTGAAATCTTCAAGAAGGGAAAAATGTAATTGCAATTACAACATGAAGGATGAACTATAAACTTCATAAGAATACATATTAGTCTATTTGAATTAACAAATTAAGTAAACTATCGATAGGGTCCATTTAATGAAAAATGTTGAATGAATGGAAACTTAAAATATTTTAACAATTATTTTATTGTGCTCAACAATATTGTTTCGACTTACATTTTCAAGAATAAGCAAGTACTAACATTAAAGGTGTAAATGTGTATTTACATATATGTACTTAATGGGTGTATAAAGTAGTAACAAGTGTGTTATTCATGTCTAATTCTACTTGGTTATTAGTCACATTTTTCTTTGAAGCTATATCCTTCTTAATTTCTAAGTTTTCTAAGAGTTTTCATTTTCTACTTTTTAATTCTTAATTAATAGCTATTAAATACACAATGTTCAGCCATTCCAGTATTTGAAATTTTATTTTTTAAACAACATATAAATGTTCTTTCTATCTTGTCCTAGTTGAGTGCTAACTTTGACCTATGTAGTTGCATCTATAATTCACAGAATAAACATTTTTTGTAACGAGTGTAACTTAGGCTTGTTGTTTATTATAAAATACTTACGATTGGATATTAAATTTTTTAAAGAAGGGGTTTATTTATCGATTGATTCTGCCATTAATACTAAAAGAATAAAATATCTACTCCTACGAGTCTGGAATTATTGTGAAAGAGTATATAGAAATATAGATTCTGCTATATCATAAATTTTTTATTTAACAAAGATTAATGTAGGTTCGTATCCTTTGTTTATCGCTGTGTTTTATTACTTTTATATGGATTAGTCAAATCAGCCGGTACAATATTGTCCATTGTGGTGAGCTTCGTATTATGTAGACTAATTTCGTTTTATATTATAAAACAAGTTCAATCAAGAAAATTTAAATTACATTGCTTGGTTTTGAAAATGTAGATTGAAGCAATAATTTCTAGCACAATGAAGTTCTGAAATGTTTTTAGTTTATTTTATTCTATTTCTCATTATGTGATAGAAAGTTTCATACTTAAACATGGATACATAAAAACAGTGAGTATAATAAATTATTTATTTAGTTTAGGACTGATATATTATTTAATTGGTGCTCCTTTCATAGTTTTGCTCTTGATGAAGCCGCCAGTTTTAAGCATTAAATTGTTATTTTGCCATTGTACCACACAATCCGAATTAGTTTTCAAATCAACCTGCAGCTTTTCCCATATTTTTTTCTTCGGATTTAGAACGTCATCAGGCTTATGGGCTTCAAAGTTTTCCACGAAAACTCTGTCGCCAGGAACAGCTCCTTCTGGGGGTATTAATGTTTCAACTTGTTTAGGGTGATCACTGAAAAACAAGACTAACTAGTGTAATGAAAACCAAAAAATTGATGATTATTAAAAACTCATATAAAGTAAATAAAAAATGATTTCAACAGTAGAAGTAGCATATTATTTTTGTTCACATTTACGAAGATTTTTTTTATACACATTATTTCGTTAAAATTAAGTTAAGTGCATTTAAAACATTTTTGTAATGTTTCTCTCTAGTCAATAGCTCTTAAATATTTTTTAAGCTTTTGAAAACTTAAGGGACTAATGTATTAAAACTACTTTTTTTCTACAGCTATACAATCGGGATATTTTATGTTATATTACCTCAATAGTTTTTATCTTATGAACGAAAGTAAACACCCCAAAATACATTAAATTTATGCATATGTAGAGAATATAACCTACACAGAAGCACACAGAACCATGCCTTGAGATTCTACTCCTCTCATTTTAGCCGGTTTCAAATTGCACAGTACTACCACCATCCTATTTTGCATCTCTTCAATTGGAATAAAATTGACAAGTCCGCTGACAATGGTCCGCGGTTTTTCTTCTCCTAAATCAATCTTTTCGACGTAAAGGGAGTCGGCGTCTGGATGTTTGGAAACTTCAACGATCTTTCCAACACGAATGTCCAAACGAGACGGAACCAATTCATCATTAGCTTGAGCTCCTGTTACATTTATGCTCCCTTTGAAATCAAAAATTGCGGAAATGCAAACAGATATCAGTTTGTTTTTAAACAAATAATGTTCCATTTAATTTATTATTTCATTTTGCTTACTTTGTTTTCCTGGGGTTGAATAAGCCTTTTCTGTTAACTGTTTTAAGCTTGGTTCCTCAAAAGTTTTTCTAATAGGATCCAATAATCGGTTGATATAGTTTTCTACGGCAGCTTTTAGATCTCCAGGGTGAAGTTCCTCTTTGGCAAATGCTTTTTCAACACTCTCAAAATTACCATATGCAATATCACCTCCAAAATCGGCATTTCTTGGAACTACAAATTTTTCGTCTTTTTTAAGTAATGGAAAAACAACATGTTTTACAAAGGACAATATTCCATTATTTTCTATATTGCCTGGTTCACAAAAGGCTTTTTTTAATTTCTTTTTCACAACTGCAGGAGAATCAAGGAGATCTATTTTACTTTCATCTTCAGAAGAGGACATTTTATTGCCTGTTAAACCAGGAACTGAAAATAAAGATTAAATATCAAACATATATATTTGTATATTATACTTTACCCATTGGATTCATTAAATGAGCTCTTTTTTGATAACCCAGTTGTGGTAAGTACTTTTCAGCAAAAGTAAATATTTTTCTCTGATCTACTCCTCCAAACTGTGCATCAACTTTTAAGTACTCTTCATCCAAAGCTTGTAAACCTACAAATTTAATTGATATGATAAAACACTTACAACATAAGATGAGCAAAAGTTCTTAGTTTGACCTTCTATACTAATTAATTAATAACACTGTTTCACATTATTTTCCAAGTTATATTCTTATAAAATTTATAAAAAATCTCTCAGTAATTATCTATATACCTGGATATAAAAGGCCACTAACAAGAGGGTATTCCACCTGTTTTACAACTTCTGCTCCTGCTTTTTTAGCATCATGTTGAGTAATAACAGAACTCAACCTATATACATCCAATGTATACTCTTTAGATAGTTGGTAATTGGTTCCTTTTTCAAATGTAAGTTTTTCCAAAGGGACATTGATCGATCTGAGCATAGCTTTGATTGAATGCTCATAATATTGTGTTCGCAAAGCTAACAAATCCCATGGTGCTTTCATATTATCTAAGTAAGCATGTAAATCAGCAAATAATATTGTAACTTCACAACCAGCTCTTAAAAAATCAGCAATTTTTGATATGGGCACAAAATAAGCAACATGGGGTCTTCCAGTAGTGGCTGTTCCCCAATAAATCTTAAGGTTACGTTCCTTCAAAATAGACTTAATTTTGTCTTCTCCTAAAACTTCCTGTAAATTTCTGGAAATCAGGTTGTATTTCTCGTCTAGAGAGAGCTTAGTGCTGCTGTTTTCTATGACCATCATTACCTGAAAATGATGCAATTTTTAACATATTGTTGATTTTAGGAAATGTATTAATAATGTTACAATTTTTAAACAGAAGATGAATGCAATTTTAAGGATAACAGACAACAATACTTACTTTTATTGATGCAATCTCTAATGTTCTTATATTTAATAATATATTTAATTTTACAATCTCAACAGAGGTTAGGTCAAAAGTTAGGTTATCTCATGGATTAGAGAGATATATACTGTCAATATGTCGATGCTGTCAATTGATCTATGAGTGATCATTATCTATGGAGTGATCTATGAGCATAGATATCTATGAGTTTGAAGAAAGGTTATGTTAGGTATGTACTTTAATCAAAAATATCTTTTAAATTTTTAAGATAATTTTTATGTTTATAGACAATCTGTCATCTTATTTTTCTGGAAAGACTATAATTTGATTTCAAACGTATATTTACGAGAATGTAAAATAAGCTAATTTTCTTCGTAGAATTTTTACTTCCAACGGTTTTAACTTCGGGGGTTTACTGTACATGCGGATTTTATTTTAAAATATAATTGTCTCCAATTTTTTTTATAATGGGTAAGTACTAAAGCTTTTACTGCTTTAGACATATATATTGAATTCAATTTAATATTATGCCGTATTCTTCTACTAGTTAATTTCAAATATAATTATTTTTTTTATTTTAACAGATACTGATAAAAGGAATAAAAGCACAGACTGTGTAGATTCTGAAGAGGAAAGAGATGTATTTGATGTCAAAGAAAGTGATAATGTATGTCCATGACTTTTTGTAACTCTATAATTAAAGAAAACCTACAATTGTTGCAGTTGTACCAAGAAGTTCGAGATATTTTGAGTCAACTCACATCTAAAAACTTCCAAAACTGTTTTATTAAAATTCGAAGTTTAAAGATTAATACTTGTGAAGAATTGCATGGAATAGTCAACTTACTTTTTGAAGAAATTATGAATTATGAGTCTTGTGCTTTGTTATGCAGGGAATTGGTTTTGATGCCGGTAAAATGCAAAGTTATGTTTTGAAATTAGTTATAAATGTTTAAATTAATTATAGATGCTCAAGAGTGAAGAGTTGAAAAAAAAGTTTGGTGTTAAATTCACTACTTTTCGAATGCTGTTGTATATCAGATGTGAAGTAGAGCTGAAAAAGATACTTAATGATGATGAGTACCTGATAAATTTAATGTTCATTGATGTATATTATAATACCTTTCTCCATATCAGTGGTAAGTGTCTTGTGAAATATTTTTGTAAATAAACAAATAAAAATGTTATAATGTTTCAGAAATGTTTTAATTATAAATTCTATAATTTTTTTGATTGTTAGGTCATTGTGAAGAATTCATAGAAATACTATTTAAAATATTTTTTTTTTATGGCAGTAGGTATTTAGTATTATCTCTTAAGTAATCTTGACAAAGATATAATAAGTCGAGATAGTTGTAGAGTTCATAATTAAAACTTTTCTGAAACATTATAGTGTTTCTTCTTTATTTTAGCTGATGTGTATTATACTTCAGAAGAGCAAAAAGAATTTCATAATGAAGGGAAACAATTTCATAAACAATTAAATGAAACTTCAATTACTTTTATAAAGTTTTTGGGTATGTAACTGTACTCTTTAATTAGAGACAAGGCTGTCCTTTATGCCGATTTTATTTTCACTTCTGATTAGTGGTGTACTCAAATTTAAGCAATTTCATGGTGTATTTAATGTTCCTATGGTCTGTTATATTATTTTACTACAATTTTTGATTAATTAACATTTTTTACAGTTGGAGGAGTTTGATTAAATAACTTTATATTTGAACAAGGGGAAGATATGAATACTAACATTACATACCTTCTTTGTAAAAATTCAATATAATATAAAAAAAATAGTTTAAATAAAATAATAAAAATTTTTTCTTACATTGGTTAATTTCAGTNTGAAAAAGTTGCTAATTGATTTTTTACTTAGATAAAATTAACTATCTATACAATATAACTGAAGGTGGATGTTGAAAGGTGGTGTGATTTTTTTTTGTATGACAGCATAAGTTTAATATTTTTGTTAGTGCTTCTCCCATATTTTCTTTCAAAAAAAGAGTTTGATATACCACTCTAATAATTATATATTTTATAACTGTTTTCCACCATTAAAAAAGGGTTTAATCCATTGAGGTTGCTTTTTACTAATGTGCTTTCTTTACAGGTGAACTTTACAGACAATTCGTAATAACAAATGATATACTGAGAAAATTTATGGTGAATGTAATTGTTGATATGGGTCAGAAATACTTAAGTTGTATTAATTATTTGTCATCTGCAATTGGTGAGGAGTTAAGAAAGGTGGGGCTCGTTTCTTTTCTTGTAAGATCATTGTTACAGATTTTTATATTATAAAACTTGTTTTTACAGAATCCAGTATATCAACAAACTTCAGATTCGAAAGTAATTAAACAAGAGACAGATGACAAACATGTGCCTGAAGAGGTAATGCTAAATTAATTTTAATTTCATCTGTAATTTATTTACTGAATGTTATAAGGTCTTCATCTTTTTGCTGTTTTTAATTTTAAAAACACATATTACAACGCTCACTAACAATTTATTGCTTGGTAAATCAATAACATGAAAGTAATTAAATTGAATGAAATTATTATTTTATTTTACCTAATTAAAAGAAGGTACATCATTTAAACTGAAACTGTGTCGCTCATTTTACTCAAAACATTGTTGCATTTTCGGTCTGTGGATATTGCTACACTGAACTTTTTCCATGTTCTTGAATGCTTTTCTCATATAGACACGTTTTACCACTCACTACAATATCTATACGATACTCGCGAAATGTTCGTCTGCAAGAACTCTTAACGAAAATGTATGTATTCTTATAGTGCGTGTTTTAATCACACAAGCGTGAGTCATCTAGCCTATCATCCCGCACTTTTTGTTTAGTAATTTGATATATAGTATATCTATTTCCAAATTTCTATTCAGTACATTATATTAGGTCATGGGTTATACTTGAACCTTTCTCTCTTAAAAGATAGATTAATAACAGTTTTTCATTTGGCAGTAATGTTTCTAGTGTTTCAGTTTAGAAAATATAAATGTGCTGAGCGAATAAATATAAATTGTTTCTAAAATATTAGTTTTTTTCAGTTTTGAATATTTTGATATATTTTTTAGCAACTCGGCATTTTGATAGAAAACACATATGAAAGGAAAGAATTAGTTTCAAACAGTTCAGTTTTTAAAGAAGTAAAGGAAAATATTAAAAAAAAAATTGGTAAGATATATGAATTTGAGCAAATGATATAAGATAATGATTAAGCTTAACTTAAACTATTTGTGGTGAAATTTATTTAAACTGCATGATTAATTTATAATTTCATTTTCATCTACAAGAATGTTTTGAATTAAATAATGATTTGTCTATGCAGATGAAAAGGACCGTAAGGTATACACTTTAGAAAATTTATTACTACTGCGAAATGTCCCAAGCAGTATAAAATTACCAGAAAACTATGTGAGTGAAATATTTAATATTTATTTAATCCATTTTATTTTATTTATTTATTTATTTTATTTATTTATTTATTTATACATATTGTCTGTTCGGTACAGAAAAACGCTTCCATTCGTCCCTTAACGCCTCAGACGGACATTCAAGACACAGAAAAATTATGTAAGTAAAGAAGGGAGTCTCATTAACTGTTGAAGGTTTGCTTCTTCTATGATAAAACTCAGAAAGTCTTGAACCAGAACGTGATTTTGATTTTATACTAACTCTCTAGTAAGAAAAAGATATCAAAACATTTTACGGTATAACGTTTGGTACTCAGGTATAGGTACTCTCTAAAAGTTAAAAATTTTTTTGTTCATTCTAGTAAAACGCTCCAAACTAATGGTTTTTATTGTTTTAGAAGGCAGAGACCTCCTTTTTTGAAAAAAAAAACATTAAATAGAGTAAGATTAGTAGTTTGCATAAAATAAACGATTCACATTTTATTGATCAACTTGTTACTCAGTTTCGCCTATTGTTATTTCATAAATTTAACAGGTATTATTTATTTGCCAGTTTTATTTAATTAATGGATACTTACACTCACTAAAGTGAGTTGGTTGTAACTAATTAGGTTAATTTCGTATAAATTTAACTACATCTTTGAAATGAATCATAAATGTTCAAGCTTATGTATAATGCGAAAAATACCAGACAGTGATTCTTAGATGACGTACAAATAATAAAGTACTCTTTGGTTGTTATAGATCCAATGGAAGCTGCAGTTTACACAGTTTCTGCATCATCTTCAGCTTCTGAGGAAATAGGCACCCAAAATAAAACTATGATGGAGGTTCCTCAACAAGAATCTCGGAAAAAACGACAAAGAAGTAAACAATTGACTGTTGATCCTGGTGAGTATCAGAAAAGTGATTCTGATATTCAAAAGAAAAATCGTTAAGTCATTAAATTCTTCAATGACGGACACACACCGTGACCGAAATCGAACGGTAACTGTGTTATACCCAGGGGCTCAAAATTTTACAATTGCTTAATAAAGCACAGAAGTCAGATCCTTAATTTATTAGAGCGCTAAATGCGAATCTCAAATAATTTTTTGTTATATTTTATTTAACTTGTTGCGTCAATAGTTTATTTTAGAGTTCTAAAATTTTTTCGTATTTCTTTGTAGTTACATCTAACGTTGAGTTAGATTTCAATAAAATAAGAATAAAGCAGAACTTGCAATGTTCAGCTGAGTGTTTAATAAATAAATATTTTTTCATTCTGCAGGTGTGTGGATGGATCCAGTGAAAACTGCGGTTTGCAAGTCTTCTGATTTAGTTTCTCCCGTTCATGAAACAATCTCCCAGAATAATACTGCAATAATGGCTCTTCCAAAGAAATCTAAGCAAAAACAACTTACATTAATCGTTGATCCCGTCACAGGTGGGTTTTAAAATTTGTAGTTGTTTTTTAAAACAATGAAAACATTCTATTGATTGTAACATTCATTACTTTTTGTTTATTAAAAGAAAAACAATTGTGTGGTTTTATGAAACCACGTTACAAGTGAAACTTTTCGGATTGTAGGCATTTAACTGTAAATTTTCGGAAAATTATTCGATTTAGGGTATTAAAATTATCATCGCGTTCTTAATCTTATCTTAATGATTGGAAAATGGGAATGATAATGGGAAATAGTAGACAAGATATCCAACTATAAAATTTAATTTCAATCTGCGTATGAGGGTATGGAATACATAATAAATACAATCATTCAGATGATAGACGCATGTTAAAAACAGAACAATATTTATTTAAATCATTGAATCATTTTTAACTTCAGTTATTCTATCAATAACTTCCTCTTCGCTTTGAGTTTCAGAGTCTATAAATGTAATTAATATTTCATGATAACAAAAAAAGTAAAAAATGATTTACATTCTATTTTTTCAATGTACCTAGAAAAAAACCGCATCTTAAGTATTCAGTAAGTGGAGCAGATTCCTCTTTCTTAAAATCTGTATTGAAATCATCAGATAAAATAACAGGCATTCGCGAATATATTTCTCGAGAACGGAAAATGTGTGCCGAAGACGTAGCAAATGGAGCTAGATGAAAACCTAGAAAATCCACGATATCATCTACTTTTTTATTTACTTTAATATAAATTGATGGCGATTTCAAGGTTTATGTTGTCATCAAGTTGACAAATAGTTGCACAAAAATCTCTCACAGCAGATTTGGAAGTAGTTGCTTGACTACTACTACTGCCTTTCACTTTTACCCCTACTCCGCGGCCGACTGTAATGCGACATGCGATAGATGGGCTAAAAAATTTGAGGCGATGTAATAAAAGTTATATTTTAATAAAGGAATATCTGTTTATGACTTCTGATACAGTTGTCAAGAAACTGATATGTGTAATTTAATGCAACAGTAATTAAGAAACAGTTGAGTGATGAAATTTTATTTTATTAGGCAATCAACACCAACGTTTCGCCTAATATTTTTTAGGCTTTTTCAAGGTAAATTTTTAGTTAATACTCGAATGTTTACCTAATAAAATAAATCTTCCCTTAACCGCTTATTATTTAATTATTGTTACATCACACGCTAAGGAAATATGTAACATAATATTTTAGGTAGAAAAATGTACAAGTTAGTTGAAAAACAGGAAGAAAACAAATTGAATTTGAAATCAAACCCGTCGTCAGTGTCTCAACCGGTGGAATCAGCGAAGACGAAAGAGGTAGTATGGACAATAACTTAATTTAATAAAAAATAAGAAAATATTTTGAAGATATTTTTAAGTAACATAATAGCCTTATAATAAGTTTTCACGTACGATTTATCTTATTCACTGTTTGGTCGCTGTGTTGTAATTATTTATTTTATTTTTAACATTAGGAGCTCCATAAAATTGTTAACAAAACCATAACAAAATTAACTTCCTCCAGCCTCAAATCGACTGTCGATAGGATAACGAGTCTCAAAGTTAACACTTACGAATATGTTAAGTACGTGATCGAAATTATAATGGAAAGAACAATAAATAAGTTTGAATCTTGTGCTTTATTATGTAAGGAATTAGATCAAATGCAGGTAAGAATTTTTTTAAGCTACAAAATAAAGTTTCTGATCCAATTTGATTTGAAGGTACCAACCTTAGATGGGCTTAAAGGTAGAATGAAGATGACGACTTTCCATGAACTTTTACTTGCTAGGTGTGTAGAAGATTTGTATAATGTGCCATGTTTAACTGAAGAAGAAATTGCAACGTCTGAAAACGAAGCAGTTATTTCATTGAGATTAAAACATGTTGGATTAGTACACTTCATGAGTAAGTTAACTCAGTCGTTTACTGCTATTTATTTTGTTTAATACAATACCTTTTAGCAATTAATTGTTTATTTAATAAAATTTGTTTATTAAGCATAACAAGAAAAAAATAATTATCTATATCTTCAGGAGAACTTCATAAAAATCAGATATTAACAGACGAATCAGTGGTGGAGTGTGTAGTATATTTGCTTAAAACATGGCGAACAAAGAGTGAAGGAAATTTAGAATGTGTTTGTAGGCTTCTTTTAATGTTTGGTGAAGAATTGGAAGCCAGAAAAGTTGATCTAAATTCACATTTTAATACATTAAAGCAAATATGTAACAACAAACAGAAAATTAGTAGTATGTTAAGGTTAATTTCGCAATCATTGCATGACTTGTGGAAAGCAAAGTGGGCTCCTGAGAAGCGAGAAATTTGTCAGATGCTACAAAATGCCTACAATCCACGTATGACAAAAACGGTTTGTTTTTAATTTGTTAGTGCTATTCTTCAATGTAGCGTAATCTTTGTTTAGGAACTATGTGGGATAACAGTTTCATTAATGAAGAAACAGGCCTTAAAACGCATTAAATTACTTCAAATCGATACATATGAACAATTAAATGGTGTCGTTACTGTAATATTTAGCAAAGCTTCAGTTTGTCCTGAATTTTGTCTTCAAGTTTGTATGGCATTATTACATATAAAGGTAAAGAAAATGCTTGGAAAATCCCCTTAGTTTTTACATAATATTTTATGTTTACAGGTGCCTTGTATAAAAAATGATTCTTTACAAATTGTCGACATACAAAGAGCTTTACGTAACAAATGTGAGAAAGAAAAGGGAAGCCCCGGTTTCACTAAATTAAAACCTGGTTTCAATAAATTCATAGGTAACAATATATTAAATTCTGTTTTTCATACCTTTTTATCAGTGGCTGTTAATGCATAAGGCCACAGTGTAAGTGCCCATTTGTCTCTTTCAGAAAAAAGGGTTTTTCTCTATTAACTGCATGACAATAGTATTAAAGTATAAGCTGTATATACCAACCGAAGTTGTTATTGATTTATCGAAGTTTCTTATAGCGTCTGGTAGTTTTAATAAATTGCTGATCAAGAATTTAATGTTTTAAATAACATTTTTATACGATTTTTAATTACTTTTTTAATACGTAGGATTTCTCTTCGAGAAAGAATTGATTACGAGCGCAATTGTAGTAAAGTGGATTGCAAAGTTGCTCAAAAATGTGAACGAAAATAGTTTGGTAAGTGCTCACGAACTTCTTGTGCAAGTTGGTGAACGATTAGAAAAGAACGGTATAGATTTGAGTCCGCATTATAACAGGATAAATGGAATAGTTCAGAAGGAACCTGGAACAATAAGCAACAATGTATTGATAAAATTAGGTTGTTTACTTACATGGCGGAATGCTATGCTTTCACTTCAACGAGTTCAACCTCCGCAATTTCAGACAATTACAAATCAACCGAATAATGATGGTAAGTTAAAGAGTTAAAAAATGAATATGACATTTATTTTATCTTTACTAAGGAACGATTTGCTTCTTTCCAATAACATGATTTTTTTTATCCACAATCTGTTAAAACAAATGTTTAAAATCTTTACAGTTCAGCATAAGCTGTTTGAAGGATTACAAAAATTAACCCTGTCCAACAATTCATCAGAAACTATATCTCAGTATCAAACTGTTCCTCAACAAATAAAAGTAATAACCAAAAACGGAATACAAACAAAGGATATCATTGTCCTCCCCGATCATTCTGCACAACAAATACATGGAAAAGGATTGCCAGAAAACTCAAAATGGTTGAAAGATAGCAGGATAATGTCACAGTCTGAAAACAACATTTCTCTATCTGACCATTCACAAAACGACAAACAATTGCCTTCTACCTCGAAGATAACGATCTTACCGAATAACGAAAAACTTAAGGTAGATTATAATATATTTGAAAAAATCTATTTAATTTTCAATTTCTTTTTGCTTCATATTCGTATAAAATATTCGTACTTTTTACATGTTACAAAAAAACTGAAATATAAATCCAATTTTTTTAATATTCATAATGCATTCTCTTTTGTTTTGAAAATTTTACAAGTGCACCTGTAACTATAAGTAAATTTATATTTGTCATAGTCTCGGCTCCACGTAACGAAGTTGAAAGTTTTCATGGCATTTTTTCACTGTAAATAAACTATCCTTCTAGGTTCGTCAATAAATTGTCTCACAAATTTAATGCTTTTATTCCAGTTGGAGGATGTTTCAAACGGTACTGCTTCTTTTGCGGAAGTTCATAAAAAGTTGCTGACGTTATTTTCAGTAAACACGCCAATCAATGAAGTGATACAATGGATACAGGTTTGTACTTTTCCTTTTCTTTATGTTATATTATCATTGCTCATATTTTATAGACAAACATAGGTGAAGCGAAAGAAGAAGAAGCATTCGTTAGGGCTTTGATGACGGCTATTCTTCAACAGTGTATAGTAAATAATAAGTTGAATGACCAGGCATTTAAAAACTTTTATCAGTATATTCACAGACTTTATATTGGTTCTTCTGACTCGGTGGAGATTTATTGTCTGTATGCTATTCAAACATTATGTTATAAACTGGGTTTTCCAGAAGGTAGGTCCCTGAATTAATAAACTTTTAATAGGATTTCATAAATAAAATTAAATACAACTGCTGGATAAAACTGTAGGCTGTTTGTAATTATTATATTTCAGGTCTTTTGTTAACAACATTCAAAAAATTGTATGAAGATAGTATTATTTTGCCCGAGAGTTTCTTAACGTGGAAAGCTTGCTCCGATCCCACCAAACAGGCGGGGAAAGGTAAGTAAATATTTAACGGTTTTTATACGTATATTCATAATTTATTATTAAATGTCTAGATGACGCTTTAAAACAGTTAAAGGATTTTTTTGCGGAATTGAAAACGGGTGAATATGAAGACATGTGATAGATTTATTTTTAAAGTGAGAATGAATGTACCCTATATTTTTTACATGTTCANACAAAAATACAATTTCATTTGCCTTCTTTTTTCTAAGCTGATATTTTCAATTTGATTATCATTTGCTCTTTTTATAACCCTATGGTTAGGACCTTATGAATATTTAACGGTTTTTATACGTATATTCATAATTTATTATTAAATGTCTAGATGACGCTTTAAAACAGTTAAAGGATTTTTTTGCGGAATTGAAAACGGGTGAATATGAAGACATGTGATAGATTTATTTTTAAAGTGAGAATGAATGTACCCTATATTTTTTACATGTTCAGTTATTAACATATTAAATAATGAAACTTTTTAGTTAGTATATAAATTTATTTATTTTACTTATTGCCTTATTTTTTCCATTATTATTTTTAAGTGCCAATTTTCCATACGTGTCTCGTTCCATTTCCATTTTATAAAAAAATTGAAAAAAGAATAAGTTCTTGGTAACTCGTATTACTGGTTAACTAGTAGCCGCCCGCGCCGATATTTCACTTAAAAATGTTGTAATTAATAACGTATTTTGTAAACGATTAAGTATTCATTTGAAATAGGTTCAGTGATTTCTAAAATTCATCATCATAAAATCACGATCAGTAACAAGAAACATAGACACAGATTCGTAAACTCTTCTTATTTATAATACTAGTATTGATTCATAACATAAGAAAGGCAACTAATCATGAAAGAAAGTGTTATATTAATTCTTAAATGAAGAACCACGCAAATGGAGCAAGTTGTAATATAATATACTTTTAATTCATAGTAAAACCTAATTACCATAATATAATAATTTAAACGCACATTTCTAGGATACCATCATTACTTATCGTAATAACGATTATAATAGTAATAATCCTTAATTCTACGGAAAAAAGAAGTCTTTAATGTTTAGTCGTAAGACCGTATTATCTACCCTTTCCCGAACAAGTCAGTGAGGCAGCGTGTGTGACATAGTTTGTGTCATAATAGGATAGGACATCATTGATTGAGTTGCATTTGACATCGCCATTGTTTGTGACGTGTTTATTGCATTCATTTGGCTGTTACGATGCATTTCGAGTTGTTGACTGGAGGCCAAATTTTGCGCTTGTTGCGCTAACAACTGTTGAGTGTTGCTTGCGAGTGCCAACTGCTGAGACACGTTTGCAGCGACGGCCAGTTGTTGGGGCGTATTTGCCAACGCTAACTGTTGCGCCTGGGACGTTAACTGTTGTCCTGTTGTGGCGAGAGCCAATTGTTGTGCCTGCGATGTGAGTTGTTGTCCTGTGTTTGCTAATGCCAATTGTTGCGCCTGAGATGTCAGTTGTTGATTAGCCAATTGCTGTGCTTGAGAAGTGAGTTGTTGGCCAAGTTGTTGGGCTTGGGTTGTGAGATGTGACTGTGGCGCCAGTTGTTGGCTATTACCAGTAATAGTTATCTGCTGACCTTGTGAAGCGAGTTGTTGCGGTGCGCTCGCGAGTACGAGCTGTTGGTTGGCCACATGCTGAGCTTGGGACGTGAGTTGCTGTGTCGTGCTTGCGAGGGCCAGCTGTTGGGCTTGAGATGTTAGTTGCGGTTGCGCTTGCTGCGCTGCAAGGTTGTTTGCGAGATTCTGCTGAGCAATTGCGAGCTGTGCTTGAGAACTGTTTGCAAGAGCAAGTTGCGACGACGGATTAGTCGTAACTGAAAGGAAAATGAAACATTATAGGCTAAAGATGAATATTATGTATAAATAAATAAGAAAGGTAGTAAATATTTTGTTTACCGAGTATTTGTTGGCTTGGTGCTAAAATTTGCGCAGGCGGTGCCATGCTAACAGTAGCACAACCTGCAATTGATACGGGGTTCCCTGATACTGCTGTGCCGGTCGAAACGTTAGCGATTGATACGGGAACTGTTGCCACACTTGCTGTAACGGTTCTTATCACCTGTACATAATATGTAGGATTAAGACTATTTAACAATATAATTAGATAAAATGTTTAACCTGTTGCGTTGCATTATTTTGAGGGATGGTGTTAGTAATTGTTACCGCCGGTAAGGGAACGGTCCCATTCCTTTTGCCGGAAATCCTTAACGTAGCATTTTGATCCAACAAGAATTCATTGGTCGCAGTGAGATCAGAAACCTTAATAAGAATGAATGTATTCATTTCAAATATACTATTTAATGACCATTAGATTTACCTGTTTCTTAAGCTGTGCAATTTCTTTATGCAGCAAGTTATTTTCTTCTTCTAACATCAGAGCACTGAAAAATGACCCACATACATTGTATACTATCTTAAAACATTGTAACACTATATTGATTATAAAATAATTTTGTATACAATTCATTGCATTTTTAACTTATAACTTACTGAGCATCAAGGCCTGTTAATATTGGCGGATTTCCTGCTACATAACCTTTGAAAAAGGGCCTCCGCCTATTTATGTCGTTATCTAAAAGTTCAATACTAATAGGAGGGATGAATCTTCTTTTTTGTAATGGTGGGTTGCAGTCATCAAATTTTTCGAACTGAAGCCCTCCATTCTGTAAAATGCCTATAACAAAAAAAAATATATAAAAACGATTACAACATCTCTGATTAATTTTAGAACTGGTAATTCACCTTTGGCCTGATTAAATGGTGTTCCAACAGGAGTGGTATTATTGTTTGTAGTCTGGATAAGACCCACAACAGGTGGATCAAACTTTCTCTTGTTATTGTTGTTAGTTTGTAAAACTTCTATGATTTCTGCTTCCTCCTCTTCCTTTGTTACGTGTCTGTATTTGCAAAAAGCTCTTCGACACATACCTTTTCGGAACTGGTTGCAAATTGGCTGCAGGCCAGGTAATTGGCATTTCCGGGTTGCTTCGATCAAAATCTGATTAGACATTTCACCAGTTTTTTTGTATTCTTCTTCTTCATCAGTAGTACAGTGAATAAATCTTATAAATTCATATTTAGAAATAAATCTCAAATTTTTCATGTAACTACTTACTTGCAATTAGGCCGCGGACAAGCAGTATTTTGAAAATCGTGGCAAAAGTTCAGAGGTTTTGTTTCATTTTCGTGTTTGTACTTGCAAAATTTTCGATCGCATATTCCTCGAGCAAAATCTCTGCACATGTTATCACCTCCGTCGCCTGTTCGGTCAGCTTTGCAGCTTTCTTCCGACGTATCCGACATGTTTTCTGCTAAAAAAACATTGTAACAAAAAATGCAACATTCAAAAGATGCGGACTTTAACGAAACAATCATGTCGTGGGCCACGGGGGGTTCTTCGCTCCCCTCAAATAACTTCAATCGATAACGTATATTAAAAACTTAATAAAAGGTCACTCATTAAGACTCATTACTACTTGGAAAATATCTACATGGTCAAGAGATTGATTGGGTCAAAAATTTAATTTTATTAAAGAAGGAATAATTAAGAAAATATGCCCAAAAAAAGGCCAAGCTTTTGTGCGCATGTTATCAAAGTTTATTTCTGTTAACTAAATTGATCTATAAAAGGAAGTCTATTGGAAAAATATTCACTTGGTAAGCTACGAAATGGAGGAGCATCGTTGGATGGCTAGATGCTTGGCTATTCTTATTCACATTTTTCTTACGTACGCGCTTAATGAAATCGCCGAAGAGAACTGTGAAACCCTTCCTTCTAATATAAATTTAATAAAAGGTACGATATTGACATTATATTTTAATGTAAATTTCAAAACTTTTGTTTTTTAGAGGAATACGATGAACTGGGAAGATTACAAAGGACTTGTCAAGGCGAAATAGCAGTGAATAAATGTGAGGGTACCTGTAATAGTCAAGTACAACCCTCTGTTATAACACCAACTGGATTTTTAAAGGTATTTTATTCTGTTAAGGCGAAAACAAATGCTTTATTACAGTTTTATTAAAAAATCGAGAAAATATGTTGTTTGTTCTTTAACTTTTATAATGTATACTATAATTAATTAAGTTTTATAGTAATTACTGACTTTATGAAGTTTTGGATGTACTATCCAGATAAGTTTACAAAAAAGGCTGCTTATAGTCGCCATAATTATTACATTCAAAAAGGCCCCAAATTGAAGGGCGAAATGTTGGCAATTGTAGAATAAAAAGATTTTATCGTCTGGAAAATTTTCGTCAAAAAGCACTATAAAATCAGGGAGAAATTTAAATTGTTTACTCTGTTATTTTGCATTTAGTGTAATGTACAGAAATATTTTCTTTTAAGGAATGTTACTGCTGTAGAGAAAGTTTTTTGAGGGAAAGAATCGTCACATTGACTCACTGTTATGATCCTGATGGCATGCGACTAACAACCGAAGATACGCATTCGATGGATGTAAAATTAAGAGAACCGTCAGACTGCAAATGTTACAAATGCGGAGAGTATACTCGATAATAATGTTAAAAAAATGATAATTTTGAGGGTAAAAACTGTATTCTAGTTCTAATTAGAACTATTAAACCACATAATGCATATTTAAACATCACTAATTGAATCACAAAAACAGCAAATAAATAAAATGTAATTAAACTTTTATGTATATTAATTTGTTGAAATCAAAACTAGTAAATTTTTATGCTACTATACGACAATTTGATCGCCAGATGCATATAATTCTAAAGAATTATGTATAATAAGTTATTTACTTTACTAAATCTATGTACTTACCTATATAATTCAATAAAAGTGGCTTAAGTATGCGAATCTTAAAATATTATTCCATTGGTAAATTATACCTCTTATGTAATTCACCAACTGTAGTATTCTGTAAATTAGCCAAATATCCTAAAACTATTTGTGTGCTATCCTTCATTTCATTATATTCATGTAAAGTTCTAATAATTGTTGCTTTTAATTCTACAGAAACACCTTTATCTCTCAATACTTTTATTTCTTTATCCAAATGAGCCTCTTTTTCCTTTAGTTCTTTCAATTTTTGTTTTAGTTCTTCTATTTGCTCTGATTCTGATTTTTTATCATCAAAGTTACTGCTGCTGCCAAATAATTTTTTTTTATATGAAGTTTTTCCATTTATTTTAACATTTCTGTTCATTCTAAAACAAAGAATGGATGCAAGTCCTTTGGTAAAAATATATATATGTATACAAAATATAAAGCTTTAATAAATAGAGAGCTTATCTCGGTTGCACTTTTGCAAATAATGCCTACACTAAACTGCATGATTAATTACTTATTAATTAGTAAGTTCACTATGGTAAAAGGAGAAGTTAGTTTTTTATTTAAACATACTTATGTTTAATATTTTTAATTACTCATTCCTGGATACTGTTAATTAATTTAAACTACCTTTAAATTTAATCACGAAAAGAAGTTCTTTTTAGTGAATATTTTTTTTCGATGGAATGTAAATAAGAGTTATCGTTTTAATAAAAAGTTAGGGCTAATGTTGTCATTACTTTTTCAAAAAATATACATATATCTGAGAGGCAAACTATTACTGTTTGAAATAAATATTTTGGTGCCCTAAAAACGTTGAACTTGCATGCAAAAACACCATACATATTTTTTTTATAAAATAACATGCAAAATGCATAAATCACTTATAAAAAAGGAGACGACAAATAAAAACCATTAAACTCATGTTCAACAGCCCAGGGGTTAATGACAATAAGTAATATGGTCACTGAGTACACAGTAGGGGGCGTAAGCGGAAGATTTTCATCCCCTTGCTTTATCCCCTCTTTCACCATATGACAAAAGCACTTTTCTTTGAGAATGAAAACAGAAGGCATGTTTAATATCAAAACTACAACCAAGCCTTTACATTTTTAAGAACAAGAACTGACTAAATTAAATCATTTTTTTAAGAACCCTTCTGTTTAATGGTTGTGATGTCTTTTCCAGCAGTAGAAAGAGGTACAGTTTTGACTTATATTAATTTTTGCATAAAAATATATTCAAGAACTTGTTCATAAATAATTATACCAGAGTAGGATATTTATGAATATTTAAATTTTGTATTTACAAAACATTTCCTAAATATATAAATAGCAGGATTGTATCAAAAACATGTTTTAGTTTTCATGGAGCTATGGTCAATATTTATAACATTTTTACTTATGGCAAATATAAATATAGACCCCAGATTTACTGTTATGAGAAACATTATGGCAATAGAAGGAACTTCAACAGCTGATGAATGTCAAGTGACTCCTGTAATTCATGTTCTTCAGTATCCTGGTTGTGTCCCAAAACCTATACCCAGCTTTGCTTGTACTGGAAGATGTGCTTCGTATTTACAAGTAACAAAATTTAGCAAAAATTTGAGATTCAATTTAATTGAGATCAAATTTTTGTTTACTTAATTATAAACATTGAAAATCATTTTTTAAGTTGCATGAGTATAACTGCTAATTTATAACAGGTATCTGGCAGTAAAATTTGGCAAATGGAAAGATCCTGCATGTGTTGTCAGGAATCTGGTGAAAGAGAAGCCTCAGTATCCCTATTCTGTCCAAAAGCCAAACCAGGAGAACGAAAATTTAAGAAGGTAAGCTTTAATGTTTTATAAACTCAATGAATGATAACAGGTTATGTTTTGAGGGCAGTATTATTTTTAATATACTTTCATACAAATGTAACTATAATTAGAGTACTCACTCATTGAAAAGGTTTATAATTCAGTTATGTCGTTTTTTCTGGAAATTAAATACTTCCGCACATTTAAGAATTTGTCAATATACACCGCAACACATACAAAACTGAACTATTAGATTGTTGATAAGATTGATACTGGTTGCCTTGAGATTGCCTAAAACTGTACAAGTGTATGTTCATAAACTTGTGGGATTTTTACGTTGATGTAGCTTGAAAATCCCTTTTTTATTATATTTTAACTAAAAATGTCAACAAAAGGTAATAAGCAGCAATATGGCTGACCACTATAGCAGAAGTTGATTGTAAATTGTTAAATGTTGTGAGGTTAGAGTTAGAAGATATTAGAAGCATATACGTGTGAGAGAGGTAGGGCATATACTATGTGAGGAAAATGTGTAACTGTTTAATAAAAAAAATGAGAGATGAATGAAGCTAGCAATCAACTGTTTCCGCCTTCAAATTATACAAGGATCAGAAGATTATTTTTTAATCATATTAAAAATCTAAAGACAGAAACAAAAATACAATTTCATTTGCCTTCTTTTTTCTAAGCTGATATTTTCAATTTGATTATCATTTGCTCTTTTTATAACCCTATGGTTAGGACCTTATGAGTTATAAAGGAGTTTTGGTATACATATCAGATTTGAAATATGAATTTAGTTAAATAAAATGTGATTCTTTAAGTTTAAATTTTAGGTATTATATTATATGACTATAGCAAAATTTATTTAATTTATAGGTAACAACAAAAGCTCCACTTGATTGCATGTGCAGACCTTGCACTGGAGTTGAAGAAAGCGCAGTAATACCTCAAGAAATAGCTGGTTATGCTGATGAAGGACCCTTATCAAATCATTTCTTAAAATCACAAACAAATCAGTAATAGTTAAATAGTTTGTAATGAATTTTCAAATGATAATAAAATGATTTGCAATTAGCGTTGTTCGATTTTGAGATACTATATAGGTGCAACGTGGTTTTTACTTTTTTTATTAACATGCTGTTTGGTTTGGTAAATAACTATGGTTTTTACATATTGTTTTTCTATGATTAATTTAGGCATTTTATTTGAAAGAAAAAGAAGAGAAGTTCTGACGGTCGTGTTGTGTCGTGACTTGCTTACTTGCTTCTCGAACAAATAAAATCGTTGTTTTCTGGTTTTTGTGAGTGTTAATTAATTTTTTGGAATGAATATTACTTCAGCCGGTATGTACTGAATTGTCTAAAAGCTTTTTCAATATTTTCTATATCCAAGGAGAGTATAAAATTTGAATTAATTTTCATTGTGCACATGCGTTTTGCAAGTCATTTTCAAACTTTGTGAAGTATATTGATGATTATTTAAATGTTTTAAGATTTACACGAACTAAGTTTAGCTTTTAAAATAATTAACTAAAAAAAAAATACAAATATTACCTGTGAATATCCAACTTGGCAATACCGTGAATCATATATTTTTTACCTAACCTAAATGTTACCATAAATTTAATTTGTTTTCAGCGGGGGTGATTTCCCTCTTGGATGAGCCAAGGCCAGAACTTAAGGAGTTTGCCCTAAAAAAGTTAGATAATATCGTTGACGAGTTTTGGCCAGAAATATCTGAAGCTATTGAAAAAATGTAAGGTTAAGTTTACAGTATGTTATACTCTGTAACAACTAATGAATTTTTAGTGAAATTTTACATGAAGATAAAATTTTTCCGAAACATGAGTTGGCGGCTTTGGTTGCTAGCAAAGTTTACTATCATTTGGGTTCTTTTGAGGATGCGTTAACGTATGCCCTAGGTGCAGGTTCTCTTTTTGATGTAAATTGTCGATCAGAATATGTAGAAACTTTGCTAGGTAAGATTTGCAATATTTAATAGATTAAATATTGATGTTTAAGTATATTGTTTTTAGCAAAATGCATAGATTTCTACACTCAGCAGCGCATTAGCTTGGCAGATGAATCATCAAATGCTAAACCAATTGATCCTCGTCTCGAAGCCATCGTTAATCGTATGTTCCAAAGATGTCTGGATGATGGACAATATCGTCAAGCCCTGGGCTTGGCCTTGGAAACCAGGCGAATGGATATTTTTGAGACTGCCATCACCCAGTGTGACGATGTGGCTGGGATGCTGAGTTATGCATTTCAAGTATGTCTGTTTCAGTTTAAAGTACCTGACTTCAAAATGATATTTTTTGTGCAAGTTGCTATTTCCAAAATATTATGACATGCACTACTTCACTAGTAGAAAAATTACAATTGTTTTTTTGTGAAAAAGTTTTAATCCATTGTCTATCCAATAAATCTCTAGAGTGAAGGACTCTGACTTTATTGAAAGGTTTAATCTTCTCAAAATTTGTAATGTTATTGTAAATTAATTTGAATATTACGTAAATATTTTTTTCATTATTCAGACTACTGCGTTGTTATTTGAATGAGTAATGTTAAAAATAAACTAAGATATTTTAGGTCATAAGAGTTTTATTAGAGTATGTTGTGTTTCCTATTTTGTTGTTAATAGTTTCTTTAATTTTCAGGTAGCCATGAGTTTGATTCAAAATCGCGGTTTTCGTAATACGGTGTTACGGTCTCTCGTTGAACTATATCGCAATTTGGCAATACCTGACTATGTCAACATGTGTCAATGTTCAATTTTCCTAGGCGATTCCGATTTTGTTGCCGAAATATTGGCGAAGCTTGCGAAGGGCGACGAAGTAAGACATTTAATTAATTCTTTCCCCTTTTAGTTTTAATTCTACATCATTATTTCGTTTTAGGAAAGTCAGCTTATGTCTTACCAGATCGCTTTTGATATGTACGAATCAGCCACACAGCAGTTTCTTGGTAAGGTACTACAAGCTTTACGTACCAGCGCTCCGCTACCCCATTTGCTGAAATCTAAGACCAAAATAATCGATCCCAATATAGAAGAGAGCGAAAATGCCACGGAGATTTCCGCTGAAACAGAAGATAAAAGAACATTGCAGAGTTTGGTGAGTATGTATTTTCAAATACATACATACTTTTTGGGGACAATATAAAAAGTAAGGAATAAAAAATTGCTTGGAATAATTGTTTAAGTATAAAAATTTACCTGCTTAACTGATTTAAGGAATTTTTGGTATGTATGTACGAGGGTGGATTGATAAGTTTCCGGCCTAACCAAGAGATGACGCCACTAGGCCTACCTTGAGGTGACATTCTATAGTACCATCCTTGGATAGCTTGTAGCTATAGTTTCAGCCCGATCTCCTTGCTAGTGTAGGTTTGACAGCACGCTGAACAAGACGCCTCTGTGGTTTTCGTAAAAATGGAAAAGCAGGAAAATCGTGCTGTCATCAAATACTTTTATTTGAAGGGGTTAACGCCGAAGGAAATTAAAAAAGAGATGGACTCAACACTGGGGACATCCTCCCCGTCATATTCAACCGTTAAGCAGTGGGTTTCCGAGTTTAAAAAGGGTCGTGTGAGCACCTCTGATGGGCCTCGCTCAGGACGCCCCGTTGAGGTCACAACTCCAGATATGATCGAAAAAATTCATCAAATAGTGCTGGGAGACCGCAGATTGAAAGTGCGTGAGATAGCTGAGACCTGTAAGATGTCATATGAACGTGTGCAACATATTTTGCACCAACATTTGCATATGGAAAAGCTCTGTGCAAGATGGGTGCCGCGTTTGCTAACAGTCGACCAAAAATTGATTCGAAAAAACATTTCTACCGCAAATTTGTCATTGTATAAGCGTAATCCAAGCGAATTTTTGCGTCGATTCGTAACCGTTGACGAAACGTGGGTCCACCACTACACTCCTGAAACCAAAGAACAGTCTAAACAGTGGATTGGACCAGGGGAACCAACTCCAAAGAAGGCAAAAACAATTTTTTCGGCGAACAAGGTTATGGCTACTGTTTTTTGGGATGCAAGAGGTATTATATACATTGATTACCTTGCAAAGGGTAATACTATCACTGGTCAATACTACGCAGACTTATTGCAACGTTTGAGCCACGAGGTGAAAATTAAACGACCTCATCTGGCGAAGAAAAAAATCTTGTTTCATCACGATAACGCACCAGCGCACACGTCAATCGTTGCGACGGCTAAAATCAACGATCTAAAGTTTGAATTGATGCCGCACCCTCCTTACTCTCCAGACCTAGCCCCGAGTGACTATTTTCTGTTCCCTAATCTCAAAAAATGGCTTGGCGGTAAGAGATTTGCGGACAATGAAGAAGTAATCGAAGCTGTAAATGGTTATTTTGAGGAGCTTGACGAATCAGTCTATAGAGATGGCATTAATAGACTGGAACACCGCTATGAGAAATGTATCAGCCTTGGAGGAGATTATGTTGAGAAATAAAAAAAAAAAATTTTTGAAAACCTTGTTTTTCTTGGTCAGGCCGGAAACTTATCAATCCACCCTCGTATTACCATTGCAGCATTTGCTGTTTACCGAAAAAAAGGTGTTATTCAATAGACTACTTTTTGGCATAAAACATATTTTTTTATTAAGGGCACTTCACTGTCATGCAACAAAACCAACTTTGTTTTTCGTTTTATTTACTTACATGTCTGTGTAATGAAATAAATACAATGTGGGTTTTTGTTAAGTTTGTATCGAAAGCTTATTATTATATATTTCTGGGGTTTACTTAAAGGATAGGAATGAGCAGTAATTTCTGGGAGTGCCTACATTTCGCTTTTTGACTACAAAATATACTCAACACGAACATTGTTATTGTTTATTTATTTTTCGTTGTTATTTCAGAGTGATGCTGAAAAGGAGCACCAGGAACGCGTTGAAAAATTGCATAATATTTTGTCTGGGGAGGTGTCAATTGAATTACATTTGCAGTTCCTTATTCGTTCAAATCATTCGGATCTTCTAATATTGAAACAAACCAAGGAGGCAATTCGTGTGAGCATTTGCCACACTGCCACTGTGATTGCGAACGGTTTCATGCATAGTGGCACCACTAGCGACCAATTTTTAAGGTGATATTTCAGTTCACTAGTTATGTATATTGTTTGATCTCTAAGATTGTTCAAAAGTGCAAGGGAAAAAGAATAAACTAAAATAAATAATTCTTAATGGGGTCATAAGAAAAATACACAATTATTATTTATTTATTTATCGTTATTTATAATTTTTATATTACAGAGATAATTTGGAATGGTTAGCAAGAGCTACAAACTGGGCAAAACTTACAGCTACCGCATCTTTGGGGGTAATACATCGTGGACATGAAAACGAAGCCCTAACGTTAATGCAAAGTTACTTACCGAAAGAAGTTGGACCTAGTTCTGGTTATTCCGAAGGTGGCGGCTTATATGCTCTTGGTCTTATTCACGCAAACCACGGCGCAAAAATTATCGATTATTTATTAAGTCAGCTTAAAGATGCCCAGAATGAGGTGAGAACAAAATTACTTTGGCCGTATATTTAATACGCAGATAGCACAACCACTAACAAACAGCTATGAATCCATTCATAGTATATGCATATGTATAACTGCAGATATTCTTTATTTATAGTGATTTTGATTTATTGTTTGCAGATGGTCAGGCATGGTGGTTGTCTGGGGTTGGGATTGGCCGCTATGGGCACTTATCGACGCGACGTCTATGAACAGCTTAAATTTAATTTGTATCAAGACGACGCATGTACCGGTGAAGCGGCAGGTATAGCCATGGGCATGGTTATGTTGGGCTCTAAAAACGCTTCTGCCATAGAGGATATGGTCGCGGTAAGTTTTTTATTTTATTGTGAACTAACTTCTCAAAAAGACTTAAAATCTACTTTAGATAATAAAGCTATTTATTTATTTACAACAAAATCCCAACGTTTCGCCCGTTTATTTCGGACTTCTACAAATCCCAAATTTGATGTACATTAACAGTTAGCCAAATTATTTTTAAATAGAATTAAGTATTACGTAGAACTCTACAGATGCATACAATTGTAAAGTTGTTTATCCTGACAATGAGACTTGGAAATTATCTTCCTATTAAGGTAATTAAAATATGAACAACGATAATTTAAAATGACTAAAAATATGAGAGATAGTCTTTTGTATTTTGAATAGTAACATGAATATATGACGACATCTATACATTGAATTATGAACATATGTTACTGCACATATAATTTATATTATTGAGAGAAAAGAAATCTATGATTGTGTTTTGCCATCTATTACTTATTTGCTAAAAGTATTGACATTGCAGTTTTCCTTATGTGTGTACTGTAACATACGTTTACAATTCAAATTATAGATGTCGCAAGGTATTCTTATTTTCATTTTAAATTTAGAAAAAGCGTTCTCTAGTTTACTTATTTTTTAAACCATCAAATGTGCATAAAATACCCATATTCCAATTATGACTAATTGTAAGTTTAATTGATTTTTAATTAACTTAATTTAACTATTGTTTGAAGGTAGTAGCAAGTCTTAGGATAAATAACTTTACAAATGTAAACCTATACATATACATGGTTGTCTATTAAAAAATTTTTTGGGTAATTCGTAATGTATCCAATAAAGGGGCGCTCTCGCGTTGATGCCCTAAATACGTGTCAATGATCATCGACTACCACGTAACTAATTTTTTAATCCATCGGTAACAGAATTTTTTCTTCTGGATAATAGGTACCCTATGCCCTTTTTTGTACCCCTGACAATGTGTCTACAAAATTTCATAACGATCGATCGATGGAGTAGTTATGGCGTGAAATTAACCACATATAATTAATTTTTATATCCCCCGGGAAGAGTACTTTTTTCTGGATAAAAGGTACCCAATGCCCATTTCTATACTCCTGAGAATGTGTCTACAAAATTTCATGATAATCGATTGAATAGTTACGGTGTGAACTCGACCACATAATACTATTTTTTTTAATTTCTCGGGAACAGTATTTTTTTTCTGAATAAAAGGTACCCTATTCGCTTTTCTTTTCCTGACAGGCATCAAATTGTCATTTCGAAATATTGTGAGAAGGTAACGTTTTCGGAATGCATATGTTAAATATTTGTCAGTGTTTTTTACAAACTACTTTGACCAAAATTTATAATTAATATGTGTCAGATAGCGTAGATAACTTCGGTCCTACTAGTTGCGCCAAGACATCATAGAACTTGTGTATGGGATTTGATCCTGTGAAAGAACACATTTTAGACTTTAGTTTTCACTTGTTACTCTTTTAATAATTGAGATTCAATCAACAAACAAAATTAAGTTAATTGAAATAGCAAATAGAAATAAGCCTATTTGTTGAAGAGTTAGTTTGCCGTAACTTTATAGATCGCAATTAGTTCGATAATTCTTATAAATAACGTAGATTTAGAACGTTCACTTCATTTGAATTCGGTGTAGGCATGTATTGGCAAATTCAGTTTAAGGCAGACCTGACTTGAGACTGAAGTTTCCTTAGATGTGTGTTTAGGGTTTCGTACGTCCTAAATATGAACGTATAACGTAAATAAATTAATTTTGAATACGGGGTCAATTTTTGGGGGTCAATAGGAAATAAAAGAAGTTTTTCAAACTGTACCTGTGACATGTCAAATGAAAGGACTTGTTTTAAGGGTCTCAAATATTTTTTATAATTTTAAAATAAAAACAGTTGTAAAGTTATATAAGAAATTAGATGAAAATTGACCATTCCTTCTTAAAACTTAACTTAAAATTTTGGAAAAAATACAGAAAATAGTTTTTTACTTATAGGTTACAGGAAAATTAATAAGAAGTCTGTGGTCTGAAAAGATTTACCACGTTAATCTTTCAACAAAACAATATTGTGCGTTCAAATTTACATTTGCAGTTTGCGGAAGTTCCGTACATCCGAATGAAAAACGGAACCCTTATAGGATCACTCGTGTGTCTGTCTGTCCGTCTTTATTCGATTTTTAAAATGCGCCAGTTCACGGTTTCGTGACGAGTAGGTGTTCAGTAGCCGGAAATTTTCCAGATTACTGTGCATTTTGATTAAATGTGACCAGAGCCTTGCTTCCATTATTCATTTTAATCCGTATGACATTATTTATATTCCTGTTGGAATTTGTCGTGTACGCGCTGTTCTCTTGTCCGGGATAGGGACGGCTGGGAACGGGGTTGAGAAGTGGGAGGAGGGAGGAGGTCACGGTCTTGTTCGGTTCACCGTAGAATCTAGAGGCAAAAGGCGAAAACCAGGTGTACAAATGTTAGAAATTAGAAAAAGGAGAGGTAAAAGATACCATTCATGGGTTATTTTCGGCAAGGTTTCTATAGGGAGAAACCTTAATTTCTCGAAGTTTGCCGCTCCATAATCAACTGTTTATTTTCCAAGTGTGAATTTTTTGAGAGAGCTTTGTAATTTTAACAGTGTAAAATTGTGCTTATTTTGAAGCGGTCCAAAGTATAAATAAAGTTTTCTTGGGTCTATTTCTAATTATTAGGGTGGTTTAATAAAGAACGAGACATAAGTAGGGCAAAGGGAAATTCTTGACATTAAAATAAAATGTTTTGGTTAAACATGTCTTAAAATTAGATATATTATAGATGTAACGTGTCGATAATAGAATTATAAAAATTCACGCATCTTAAATATTGTAGTTTCACTAAAATAATTTATGGTTATGGTATCTTAATCGTCGTCGTTTCCTTTTACATTTTTATCACTGCTCCGCCCATGTATGTAATAAATGTTGAGTTAATTTTTAAAAAATTGAATAGAAAATAAAGCAAAAAAAGTTAAAGGGAAGTCTTTTATGTAAGCTGTAGAATCATTTTCTGAAATGTTTCAAAGAGCCGATGAAACTAAACTTGCTGTATTCTTGTTTTCGTCAATATTTTGTTGCGTGAGTATTGCAATTTTTTATGATACCTCCGAAGAAGATCAATGAAAAGCCCATTCGACCATGATGAAATTTCGCAGCGGGTTCTGGAAAAAAAAAAACTGTCCCAGGGGTGAATTTACTACCGCGTATATGTCTTTATGGGCATCATGTGCGATCGAATACCTATCTCGGAGCGAAGACTTCGGTGGCACGCACCGTGTCCTCCTTATAATACGTTCTTTCGCTTATCGTTATTCTTTCAGAAATGCCCCGATAAATCATCGTTCTATTTTCAATTTTACCAAACGCAACACATACGTATATTATGTATATGTAGGTACGTACACTTTACACACACATACACACGGATCTCTTTTATTATCAATCGCCGCGAATAGTGTTGGGGAGAAAATACCCGACTATCTGAGAGGCGAATATGAGGTGATAGAAGCGACAGCTTTAGTGAAATAAGTAGAGAATACTTGAGAGAAAATTGGTTTTCTTTATTCGCTCATGGCGTGAGTTACTAGAAGGCCTACACGTATGTAGAATGAGCCAGGGTCAAAAAAGTGTAATTGAACTCGTAGGCATTGGCGTACCCAGCTTCTGCCCTGGGGGGGGGGGCAAGTCAGATTTTTTAGGTCAGATCGTGTTTTGTCCTACGCACTACGCAAAGGCACCTATATGAAACATTAGGTATATGTAGGGCAAACAGCCGCAAATGATCCTGCTTTATAGGTAGTTAAGGATGTTTGGGAGGTATGTCAAAATGCTATGAAACAAATAAAATTTTGGAAAAACGTTCCTCATACAATTCTAAAACTCCTGTAACAATTACAAATCGATTCACTAAACCGTTAAGAAGTTATTGAAATTTTAAGAAATTGTAATTTTACACGTCATTTTATGGAGATTCGTTAACCGCACAGATTAAATTTATTTTTATTAACAGAAAAAAAGCTACCAGAAATTTCAAACTTTTATAATAAGTAACTTGAACTCTGGAGAATCACTTTAGCGTAAGGTTATTCAAATTCACTAAATGGTTATCGAGGAAAAAATGAAAAATTAGCTGAAAATCTCGTTTTTACTTGATAATATAATGATAATATTTATAATTGTCTGAAATAAATGCAATTTTAAAGTTTTAATTATTATTTAAACATATTAAAAAGTTTTACGCTCATTATTAATAGAGATTGAAACTAAATATTTTTTTGTTTCGAAGTTGAAATCAAGGCATATTCACTGCCAAAAGTCAGTTAAAAATTTTCCATATTATTCGTTATTTCTTATTTTATTCAAAGTTTTTGGTCAAATTCCAAATTTTCTCTCAAACCGTATACTTTTTTTTAGTATAGATAGTATTTATTTACCTCGTGATATGCTGCAAAACCTAGTTAATCATGCATTTCTAATTTTATGTACTCTCGTCTCCGATTGTATCTCTCAAACATCCTTAAATAAATTTGACTATGCATTTTTATTTTATTTTAATTGTTTAATTCGACTTCTACTATTTTATTCAAAAGTGAGCATATAAGGCCCCGTTTACACTTTGATTAGTGATTAGGCGAGTTCATACATTTTCTGCGAGATTTCCGGGGGGGACAGCGGCCCTCCCCTGCCCCCCCTGGGTACGCCCGTGCTCGTAGAATTTGTATTTTTTGTGCAAATACACATCCTAAAGCAGAGATTTTTTTTCTTTTTAAAATGACTGATTTATTAAGACTTGTGACTGTATTCTGTCTTTCGTACCTTATTAGGGTGGCGCAAAAAACTGAGTAATTGTTTATCAGTTTCTTTGTTTATTATTTGTGATTCGAGAACGATCTCAAAAAATCAGCCTGATTTGACACATTTTTAAGTTTCGATCATGAATTAAAAAAAGATGGAAAAGTGGTGAAAAAATCAATTATTTTTTTCTCGTAAGTGAAATTTTTGTGCGAAAAAATTCGATTTCTTGGAGATGACATTTCCCTAATGTCGTGCGTATGTGGTCGTGAGCGAAAAGAAACGAAAGGTGCATATGTTATATCTCAAGTAATTAGATGAAACACACAAAATTTTTATAACAGCAAACATGCTAGGCTCGTTTTTATTTAAGTCGATTTGACTTCTCAATACCTTTGATGATAAAACTTATTTATGTTGTACAAACAACTTCTCTATATCAAATTATTGGCTTGGAGCGTAGTTACTGTATGATAACTATTAAATCAACTTATTTAAATAAATTACACGGCTTGAATATTTAACTAATAGTATCTATCCAAGGGCTGTATCGCATCTGGAATTTCACAAGTTCACGCTTGAAGGAAGTTGGATTTTATGAACGGAAATTGTTTGTACGGAATTCCGTTAATATGAAACATTTATGCTTGAACCGTTATTAGATCGTATACTTACCCATATAGGTGACATAATTAATAGACGGGATAATGAATTTCGTTTGTTTTAGAGGGCTGTGGGGGGACAAGTGAGGAAAGTGCAGGGTGTTAATAACTTCTCAGTGGGTATTCCGAATTTATCGTTTGTTTTCGTAGGTGTTGTGTTTTCGGAAGCGTTATATGTATATTATTCTGGATTAATGAAGTTCACCACACGCCAACCTTACTATTAGCTAAATAAGTGACACAATTTGCCACTGTGAACTAATTAAATTATTTTATAACGATTTATTTGCTCATTAATATCGAAAACAATAGTGTTATTTTGTAGGTGCTCTTATTATCGCAGGTATTGCTTCGCTCGCGTTGATGTCCTAAATACCTGTGAAAGGAAAGGTACCCTATGTCCTTTTCTGTACTTTTGACAATGTGTATATTTCATGATCGATTGAGTAGTAAAGGCGGGATATCGACTACATATAAAACTATTTTTTTTCTATTCCTTGAGAACAGTACCTATTTTTTCAGGATAAAATGTATTCTATGTTTATTTCTGCACCCCTGGAAATGTGTGTACAAAATTTCATGATAATCGGTTGAGTAGTTAAGGCGTGAAAAGATAACAAACAAACAAAGAAACTCACATTCGCATTAATAATATTTGTTAGGATGTACAGATGGGTGCAAAGATAACCTACCTCATCCCTACACTAAATTTTTTTTGCATTCTTGTAAACAAAAGGACGGACATGATTGCGACTTCGTTCATTGTATTCGTTTTGTCTTTTTCTAATGTAATCTTGTGGTCCTAACCTAACTAAACATTAAACAAAGGAAAAGGCAACACCAACGAGTGTTGTCGTAGTTATGTATTTCGAGTTTTACCTGTAGATTTTTCTCAAAAATACACGTTTCTTCTACACCCTGTCACTTATATTGAGGTAGGTTAACTTTTAATTGATGTTTACACTCTTTTTTGTACACTAAATTGCTATTCAAATCATAATATGTGGTTTGTCTTTAGAAAATTTTTTAGAAGCTTTCGTTGTGCCACTGAATACCCTTAAGTGTACCGCACCACAGAAGTTATTGTTAAATCGTTTATTCCGTCCTATTCTTAAAAAAATGCCCAGCTTTTGAAAAATATAATACTAGTTCCCCAATTTTTTTATTTTTTAAATAATTGCGGTGCTAAGTTACTGGACAAAATCTCTTGAACATGTTTAAGTTAATTAAAGTTGATTTTAGATTTATATTAGTACATAGGGTTTATTTCCCCTATTTTCTGTCGTCTATTTTGCAAATATTTTCATATCTTTTATGTTTGTTTCAGTATGCCCAAGAGAGTCAGCACGAAAAAATTTTACGTGGTTTAGCCGTGGGAATTGCGTTCACTATGTACGGCCGTCTCGAGGAGGCCGACTCTCTTATCCAACAATTGACAACTGATAAGGATCCTATCCTTAGGCGTTCGGGCATGTACACCTTAGCCATGGCTTATTGCGGAACAGGACATAATCAGGCCATCAGGAAGCTCCTGCATGTGGCGGTAAGTTTTTTTTAACTTTCTATTTGCCTTCTGTTAGGAATTTGTTCGAACTTTTGTGTATGTATTTCACATCGTATTTTTCAAAATATGATACCGTCCGTTGATGATTCTACGTAATAAAATGTGTCTGTGTTTGGTTTTCTGTTACGAGATCTTTTCAAAAAGTATCGTGAATTTTGTGTTTTTTCAAAAATGATTTATTTATTCATGAATATCTATTTGGTCCCCTCCAAAGTAATCCCCATCAGATTTAAACTTGTGCCAACGTTTTTTCCAATCCTCGAAGCACTTCAAAAAACTATTTTTTGTGATCTTGTTCAGCTCCTTCGATGCTGTCTTTTATCTACTCAACCGTAGCGTACCGTCGTCCTTTCATGGACCTCTTCAATTTCGGTAACAAGAAAAAGTCACAGGGGGCCAGATCTGGGGAATACGGTGGCTGCGGCATTATTAGTATGTTGTTTTTAGCCAAAAAATCGCGCACAGACAACGATGTGTGGGTAGGGGCGTTATCATGGTGCAAAAACCAATTTTTGTTCTTCCACAAATCCGAGCGTTTCTGACGGATTGTTTTGCGCAAATTGCGCATAACTTGTAGGTAATATTCCTTATTGACCGTTCTACCCTGTGACAAGAACTCATGCTGCACCACGCCCCTGCAATCGAAGAAAACTAAGCAAAACCTTCAAATTCGATCTAACATGGCGCGCTTTTTTCGGTTTTGGCTCGTGATTCAGCTTCCATTGGGATGATTGAGCTTTGGTTTCTACGTGATAACCATAAACCCATGATTCGTCACCAGTTATGGCCCTCTGGACAAAATTTGGATCGTCGCGGACAGAGTCCAACAGCTCCTTAGAAATGTTAATGCGATGCCGGGTTTGGTTGAAATTGAGCAATTCTGTTCAGAATTTTGCAGCGACCCGGTTCAGGCCCAAATCATTGTTTTGGTGTGTTGTTGACGTGCTCGGGAGTCCTAGACGCTTTTCTCGGCCCTCTGAGGACATTTTGTACCACTGATAAACGTTGCTTCGGTCCGAATATACGTAACCCTTGGAAAATCAAAAAGTCGTGATACTTTTTGAACAGACCTCGTAGTTTGAAACACACAGCTTTGAAATTTCTTCTTTGGCATGCTTGGTGATGTTATATAAAACAAATTGAGTTTCCGGACGTTTCGTTTTTAAACTGGAGTAGCTAATAATTTTGTTATCGGAAATGGAATCGCGTTTTTTGATCTACCTGTGCAATATAGGTACGTACATAATTAATTACTTGCAACTTCAAACATCGGCTTGTTTGTGCATAGTTTGATGTTGGGTAAATGGCATAAAAGGACTCTCAATTAATGAAAGTCTAATGGAATCAGTTTTTATACAGGGAGTTTTGTTTGCGGTACCTAACAAGTAAATATTGTTCGATGATTATAGTCTTTTAGAACCATGTGTACCTTTTATTTGGTGAATAAAATAAAACGTGGAAGACTTGGGTTGCAAATGTTAAGGTAACGATGGTTTGAAAAAAAAAATTGATACTATAAATAATTAAAATTTATTTTGGAGAGTAAAGTTTTAGCATGAAACGGAAGGTGCGCACGCATAGCTAACCAATAGTCGACAGTATGAAGTTAGCAGCTTACCTGTGAGTTTTGTGACTCGTGTGATGTTACCTATACCCATTTAGGTGTCTCTTAAAAAAAAACATGACTTCCTGACAAAAAATACAACAAAAAAGTGTTGTACAATTTATCAATCCAGTATCAATTGAGCTCGCAAATCGTCTTTGTAAATTTGAACATACAATTTGTTTCATTACGTGCCTGGATCTAGGCGACTAACGTCGCTCAGCTGATCTAGTGTGGATGTAACAAGTACCTACCGGGAAGAAGGCGAATGCACCTTGTAAAAAAAGGTAAAAGTGAAAAAGAAATGCGTACCTTTTATAAAAAATGTTTAAATTGTCCGCCATTCGCTTCAATGCAACACTGATGACAGCGACGTTGTTTCAAAAGTCAAATGCGTTATAACATTTTATGTTCCAATTGTCCGTTGGAATCTGTGGTATAAATATTAATTATTATAACTGGGACACCCTATATTGGTAAATGTGATATAAGTGGGCCAATATATCTAAACGCCTAGTTAAAAATAAAAAAGCAACTCTAGTTATACAATCGACCACTAAGTATATTAATCTGAACCGTTTGTTTAATGGAAATAATTTTAGAGTCTATACACAAATGTAGGAAACTTTCTATTTTGGAGAATTTAGAAACTTGACCTGCATTAAATATTTTTTGAGTGTTTTATCTTATTTTTTTGTTAGTTAATCGCTTCTATCTTCCGTTTATTTAAGATTGTGTTAACTATTTAACGATGTTTTTAAGCATCCGAACTCGCGGTAATTGTGGTGAGATTGTCGTTAAATTGAACGAACGGTCTCGTAAACGAATATTATTGTAGCGAAGGAAAACTTTGTTGCAAGCCGATTACTTATTGACCTACTGGCTTATGTTTATCATGTAGGTGTATGCAGTTGCGATTGCATGTAATTAAATTTTCAATTAACCTAAGTCGTGTTATGCTAACTATCGTTAACACCTCAGCTTGTAGAATAGTTTAGTACTTCATTTAATGTAGTCGCGGTCACCTAATACGCTCGGGAATATACTTTACATCAGCGCAAGCCATTCTTATGGTCATAGGTCATTGGAAAACCGGAAAATGTACGCGCCACCACCCACTAAATATACTGCTTGAAAAAAGTATGGATCATGACCCCGGTAACACTCACTTAGTTCCTGCTGCTTTTTCGTACCAGAATCTTCTGATCATAAGGACTTAATTAAAAGCATTATTCGAGTGGCACAACTAATAGAATAAAATAATTCGAAGTGGTCTGTATTGTGTCGAAACTGCCAGACGCAGAAGCATACGTAATCCTAAAATGTAGCACTGTACTACAGATGGCGTTTACAGCGTCATTTGTCGTATTTTCAGGAAAATAATAAAAAAAATAAGTTAAGAAGAATAAATTATGATGAAGAAAGGGCGTAGCATCGGACGGGAATGTACGACAGCCGAGGTAAAGGTGATCATACTCCCTTGTTGGGCTGGTACCGTGTATACTTACGAATATAATGGTGACTTATGATTACATGGGTGACTTGCGCTGGTGTTAAGTATATTTAGAAATACTGTCGCTGGGAATCGTACCCCGTTTATTTAAGTATCCTTGATTGTTAGTTATGTGTACGGTGGCACGTTTTTAATTTTTTTCGCACGTGCTTTAGTAACGCAGGAATTATGTCGTTTAATGAACATAGAACGTTAAGACCTTTAATTTGATACGTGGTACATATGTACCTACGAACTTTGAAATGCGATTAAGTATATGTAGCTGGGACGTTCAAAATTGGCATAGTTCGCAATAAAACTGTCGCATTAAATTTTTTCTCTCAACTTACTAACGAGACTTGCTGACAAACCGTTTACTTTTACTCTCGACAGACGTTGAAAAGAGATGTCAGGTAGGAATTGCAGCGGACACTAATAAGGAAAAAAGAATATCATTATATCAATTGATGTGTAACAGAAACAGATGGAGACAAGCAGAATTTGAACATGTGGCCAGCATCGGATTTTAAAAAGTTAAACATTTTCAGGAATTTAAGGAAACAATGACGTTTGTTTAAACATATAATTCTANCAGATTCGGCTACCTTTATTAACCGGTTGAAATTTAACAAATGGCAGCAGCATCAATCGAATGGCCTTTTTTATTTGGTTTTTACGTCCTATTCCATTCTGCGTCTGTCCATTTTCCATTAAAGAGCCGAATATAAATTGCCAATATCCGTTTCTACTCTTTCAACATCCGAAACTACAATTTCGCGGCTCTTTTTGTGACACTCGACGTTGGTAGGTCCTAGTTGAAAACTTGGAGATGTCGTACGTCTTCTCTCCAAGCGTTTCCACCGCCCCTCTCCCGATCTGCCGCTTTCGTTCCTTCGGGAACGGACGGGTAACGCTTACCGTGTAAAAGTTGTCGACCTATAGTAACGATCCAATTTTTTAACTGCGAAAGTTTGATCGCGAAGAACGAACTTTAAGGCTTATGTTGCCATTTAGAAGGATTTCGACGGTGATAGGAAAATTGCACCGTTTGTTGAAGGGTGACTTTGTAAGTGCCTTCGGCGATTTATATTACCGTGCATATAGGTATGATTTAGAGCGCTCTAAAAATGCACCGTCTGGAGAGAATTGTATCTAAACATTAAGAATTCTATTAGAATGTATTTGAAAATAAAATGTAGAAATTGAAGAGTGTAGTCTTTGTACATAGATCTATAGGGTTGTTCGGAAAGTCATTTCGTTTTTTCCCGACAGAGGATTTAATTGTATTCTTTTGCACCCTACTTCACATTTAAGCCGTATAATTTTTATATGCTTTGAGAGCTCATATAGCAAGGCTTGTGTGTGAAAAATTCCAATTAATTCTACGCAGTAGTTTTTGGTTGGTGCCCTTTTAAATATGGAGAGCGATAAGCAGCATTTTCGACATATCTTACTGTTTTACTACAGAAAGGGTAAAAATGCTGTTCAAGCCAGAAAGAAATTGACTGATGTGTATGGAGAAGGTGTGTTGACAGTACGCCAGTGCCAGAACTGGTTCGCTAAATTTCGATCCGGCAATTTTGATGTCGAAGATGCACCACGTTCGGGAAGGCCGGTTGAAGCTGATAAAGACGCGATAAAGGCATTAGTTGATGTGAACCGGCGAATAACAACACGTGAGATCGGATTGAGGTTAAATTTATCAAATTCAACAGTTTATGACCACTTGAAAGGCCTGGGATTATCCTCGAAGCTCGATGTATGGGTTCCCCATGTTCTCACAGAGAGAAATCTGTGTCGCCGCATTGACGTCTGCGATTCGCTTCTCAAACGTCACGAAAATGATCCGTTTTTGAAGCGCATCATCACTGGGGACGAAAAATGGGTTGTATACAACAACGTCAAACGCAAGAGGTCATGGAGCAAAAAAGATGAACCGGCTCAAACCATTTCCAAAGCCGATATTCACCAAAAAAAGGTGATGCTGTCTGTTTGGTGGGATTTTAAAGGAATCGTTTTTTTTTAGCTTTTACCGGATAACACAACGATTAATTCGGAAGTCTACTGTCATCAGCTGGACAAACTGAATGATGCACTTCAACAGAAAAGGTCAGAACTAATCAACAGGAAAGGTGTAGTGTTTCACCAAGACAACGCGAGACCTCACACAAGTTTGGTCACTCGCCAAAAGCTTTTACAGCTTGAATGGGATACAATGCTACACCCACCATATTCTCCAGACCTGGCACCATCGGATTATTATTTGTTCCGGTCACTCCAAAATTTTTTAGACGGTAAAACCTTCACCTCAAATGAGGAGGTCAAAAACCTCCTCGATCAGTTTTTTGCCAGCAAAGACCAAAAATTTTATGAGCGTGGAATTATGCTACTACCAGAAAGATGGCAAAAGGTGTTGGACCAGAACGGTCAATATATATCTAATAAAGTATTTGTTTATTATACGAAAACTGTCTTTCATTTGAAATATTGTGCATACGAATTTACATTTGCAGTTTGAGTGTATGGGAGAACATGTTTTTTTTTTTCAACTACAATGCTAAGTTCGTTCTCGGGTTATGGTCCGTATGTCCGAATGAAAAACGGAACCCTTATAAGATTAGTCGTGTGTCTTTCTGTCCGTATGCTACCATCACTGTAACGATTACTTCTGTTTCATTATTTTTGTATTTTGATTAATTATGATTACCTTAATCTTTTCTGATTAGATTTTTGGTAATTATTTTGTTATAAAAGGTTTGGAGCTCGTTTTTATATTCTGTTCTAAAAAACTACCAAATTATTTTATTTATTGATCGTTTCAGGTTTTCGATTTATTACGTGCTCAACATTGTTTTTTTTTTACGTTAAAATATTTCGAATTATAAAAATCAGTTGTTGGAGGCAAATTTTGAGTCAGGAAATTTTCCTTTTTACAGGTTTCAGATGTTAACGACGACGTACGGAGAGCAGCCGTGACGGCCCTCGGTTTTCTGCTGTTCAGGTGAGTCTTTTTCATGCTTATTTCAATTAAAATTAGCAACGAACGACGGCTGTTATTTAATTTAGTTTACGAACGGAACTAGAAAGTTGTCGGCAGACAAAAGGTTTGGAAAGTAGGAACAGAGTTGTAAGAATGGGAAAAAACTGTTTGAACAACCGAATTGGCGCTGAAAAAGTTTGGAAGTTTGTTCTTTAAATATGCGGAAACATTAAATAGAAATGCGGCGAATTTTTCGTGAAGCAGAGCGATAACAACAATATTCCGTTTTGCGGTATTTTATTCTCATCCGAAAATTGGGTAAATATTTATTTTGTTCGTCTTTTTATCGCTCCCTTACACCTTTTTTTATATGATTTCAAGTGTTCTTTCGAAATGCGACTATTCGCATCTTTTTTTGCAAAATCCACTGAATAGTCGTCTTCCAATTTTCTAAACATGTGGATTTTTTTGTAAGTGAAACTTTATCGGCAGTAGGAAGGGTATTTACTAGGGTATACAACCGAAAAGTGTAACGTCACGCGTCACAGCGTCACGCGCCACGTGTGACTCCTGGATGATATCTCCAAAAAGAGTCATTTTAACAGGAGCCAGAAGCTAACCTGTTAGTAGCAACCGATAATCCGAAAATTTCCATTTTCCGTGTACATTATTACACGCTCGTCCCTTTTTTTAGGTTAGGTTTACCCTCAAACAAAGGTAAAATTTAATTCTCGTATATCTGTATTACGATGCACAATGTATGCGTTGAACTAAATAAGAGAAAGAATCAAACATTTAATGTTTATACACAGATAAGGTAAAATGTTTATCAAACAGAAATTACACGTTTTTATATGTTCCACGAGAGGAAATGTGTAATTTGGTGAATGTGTGCGATATTTTCTCGACTATGTCTAGCTAAAAATATCACCCGCTCTCTGAAAACTGTCGTAAGCTAACCGAACTCGAAAATCTTTTGGACAAATCGTAATATACCTCAAAAGTTTTAAATAGCATTTATTGGACTTACTTATATTACTTTATTGTTTATATGAAAAGATGGCAAAAATTTTCCTGTACCATGTCATATTTTTTTCGAATTACCCACGAATGATCCGAATAGGCATGCTAAGTTAATATAAAATTCTAAAATGATGCCATTAAATAAAAAAGCTATTATTAATATGAATATTTGTTGGGTTCAGTAACAGCAAATACCCGCTAGATGGCGATTGTTGCATGTAATTAGAAAAAGCTTTTGTTTTTTTTTGGAGTGTTATCGTATTGAAAATTGGATTTAAAAGTGCTCTTCTGTATTCGATTTCGGATTCGGTTTAGTTTGTAAGAAGTTTCCACAGTCGTAATTCGCTTACTCAAGTAGAAAAGTTCTTTCCCTGAAGTTGGAAAATTAAGAAGTTGCAGATTCCACTCCCGATCCCGGTTCAATCTTTCCAGTAATTGAATAATGGTTGTTCAGTATGGATTTTGAGAATCTATTTGCGGGAACGCTGTTTAGGGTGCGGTGCGCGAGAAGCTGCTACATTTCTACTTTGTGGTTCGTAAATTATGTGGTTGAAACGAGGGTAATACGGGAATTCTGTCGTAAAGGTCGCAACTTACGCGATCAAAACATTGCACACGGACTTATTCTGCTGTTGTGGAATGAAACACGAACAAAATTATCTGTCATAGGAAAACGAAGTAAATTTATTTATTTATGTGGTAAACTCATCTGTAGGTTATAATCCTTAAAGTAGTTCAATAAATTTTATACTAACAACGGTGAAAAAAGGCTTCTAATGGAGTTAAAATTTAAATAATTTTGTGTTTAGAAATTACAATTTAATTAGTAACTTTAAGTCACCGTTAACTTTTCAACTTTATTTATTTATAAGCATTTTAGTGCTTTGCGGATCTTTTATAAACAAGAAATAAAAGTCAGTTGTCACGTAATGTAAGTTCAAAGGACAGAGAGCACATTTCATTTTCATAAAAATTCCCTTGAAGATGTGTTACTGAAAATATATCGATTTATATTGGAAATCTCACTTGTTTTCTGTATTATTTCCCAATAATCTTGAACTTCAATACAAAAAAAAAAAATCAAACCACCTATAAATGAACTGATGTTGTCCTGATTCGGGTGTAAAGGTAGGTTCTTTCACCTACTGGCCGCGAAAGCCTTTACCAATTTGCCGATAGCTGCTGTGGTTAGCACGGTAAAGTTTTATGAAAAATGTGGATAACTTCGGGATTATTAAGCGTCTGGCTACGAAGCCTAAAGTGTTTAGCGATATTTGTTACGGAAACTTGGAACTTTGAAGAACCTAATGTACAAAAAGTGAACTGTTTTTGTAGCGTTTCTTGACTTCAGAAGTGTCTGTTTTAAGTGCCAAGAAGTTATAAAATTTACCTCGCAAAACCGCTTTAATATCAACATCTTTTCGTATTTGTGGAAGCGACACCGTGAAAGTTTATAATTGTTGCGTAAAAGAAGACAAATAAAGTATCTTGTACAGTTAAAAGTTAATTATTCCATAGGGTATTCTCACTGGGTATTTTTGCCTCTTTTAATTTGTTGTTTTTTTGGAGCATTTGCTATATTAAGTTAATTAGGGCTTTGGAATAAATTAGAAAACTTAAAATGTCTTACACAATTATTTAGTTTGAGTTACCCAATTAACCAGTACAAATACAGGTAATTTTCTGTTATTTGAAATTCGAGTTACGTAAATCCTTTTAAGTTAGTTCGATGGTAATTGAAATTTTCTATTTTTTGTTTGGAATGTTTTAAACATTGAGTAAAAATTAAAAAGAAGAAAGGACATAATTTTGTTTCTTTTGATCCAATTTAAGTTAGGTGTAAAATTCTTATCGAGCCAGTGGTGATTGAACCAATAGAGTTTTATTGCTTTTTTATCGCTTTTACATGAGGGATTTTAATACAATTGCTTTCGAAGTAGGGTGATTGTTTTGCTAGCTCTGATTTCAGATTAAATGAATCGTTAGAAGTGAGTCAGGGTGGTGAGACGGGTGACAATCTTCAGTCCACTTGACAATTTTCGTGTAATTTTTTATATTTCTCTGTATAATAAATTGTTAAATAAATAGAAAATACCACAAATGGCGTGGTGAGCGCCATCTGTCGCACGATGCTACATTTTGGGATTACGATTGCTCCAGCAAGGTCCATTTAAATGTAAAGGTTGGTCTGTGTTCTGTTGGAGCTGCCTGCGAAGCGTTGATGAGATCCAAAAAGATTGAAATCGCGATTCGCGTCTGGCAGTTTCGACAGAATACAGACCACTTCGAATTATTTTGTTCGATTATGGTAACGTGCCCATCACGTTGAGGTGAGCTACGCTGGGATTCGTTTCAGCAAGTAGATATCCGTATTTTTAAATGGACCTTGCTGGAGCATACGTAATCCTAAAATGTAGCACTGTACTACAGATGGCGTTTACAGCGTCATTTGTCGTATTTTCTAAAACGCGCTGTTAAGACAGCAGGTAAAGGTTGGTCTGTGTTCTGTCGGAGCTGCCTGCGACGCGCTGATGAGATCCAAAAAGATCGAAATCGCGATCCGCGTCTGGCAGTTTCGACAGAATATAGACCACTTCGAATTATTTTGTTTGTTAAATAAGTGATTATAAATTAATAAGGTTCCAAAATGAATAACATGTGTAACATCAACAAATTTTAGAATTTGTAGTTATATAAATGTAACCTAAGGAGCTTTCAACCCCGTTCGTTTGTCTTTAATGAGACGTATTAACGAAATTATACAAGGGAAATGATGTTCTCCTGCTAAGTAAAACGGTAATAATAAAACGACAAAATTAAATGGCCCATATACAGCTCAGAAAAGTTTACTTACTGTTCATTGCAAGCTTTTGAACTTCGTCATTACGTGCCTGTTTTTGAAGGGATTTCCGCTAATTAGACACAATGGAGACATTCGAAGTTGATAAAATAACAACGTAGGGCCTGTTTAGAAAATCGAGGATCTGTCAGCAGAATTAAACAGAAAACATTGTTACACTGTCTAATGAGGCTTAATGGGGTTTATAATCCTTTGGGACGCTAATTAAAAAGGTGGGCCGTCTGGAAGGTATTATTGTAATTGCGTATGTGCGTATAATGTTTAGATAGGTATGTTTAATTTTACCTATAAGTATACGAGTAGGTATAATTGACGATTGATCCTATACAGTTCTAGTGCAGGGGTGGCCAACCCAAATGATCTTGCGGGCTACATTGAACTCCGCGGGCCACATGTGAAATTGTATGTTTTCATATTAAACTTCCACTCACTATGAATATTTTTTTGAACTTATAACTGCAAATCCATTAATACCTAAAACAGCCAATATTTGTCATATACTCACAAGAATATTATTTTAAAATTAAAGTTAATTTTTTCTCATAATTTAGACATAATTTGCCCAAATAATGTATTTTTTTTAAACAGTGGTTTTTGCTAATTTGGCCATTATAAATGTATTTTGTAAAACTATGATGAATCTTGCGAGCCGGAAAAATATTCAAAACGGATCGCATGCGGCTGTCGTCTCGCGAGTTGACCACCCTTAGTGTTGTGTGCTCGAATATACAGTCTCAGCCCTTATATATTTATGGCTCAGTGCTTTAAGCCCTTTTGTGAACAAATAGTTGTGCTTTGGTAAACTAATTACTTTTCGAAGTAATTGGTAATTCGATTTGGATTTATAATATAATTAGGACTTCAAGGACTAAAGCACTTTAAGTAAGAGCTTTGGGCTTTTACACTTGTAATGAATCTAATATCATTAGAGTTGGACAAAATGCCCATTAAAGGAGCTGGAAACTCTAAGCCCAAAGCCCTTACTTAAAGCACTTTACTCTTTAAAGCCCTGATTACATTTTAAAGTACAAAGCAAGATGTTCTGTAACTTGATATATCTTTTGTTGTTGAATTCGAATATGGTCTCAAAATTATTCCCAGCAACAGGATTTTCATATGTAGTAACGTTAAAATGATG